TAAACAACTGCACCTCCCAGTTGCGAACCATTTCAACTCCCCCTCCCATTCCTCAGACGACATGTCCATCCTGGGCCTCCTGCAGTGCCACAACGATGCCACCCGAAGGTTGCAGGAACAGCAACTCATATTCCGCTTGGGAACCCTGCAGCCCAATGGTATCAATGTGGATTTCACAAGTTTCAAAATCTCCCCTCCCCCTACCGCATCCCAAAACCAGTCCAGCTCGTCCCTGCCTCCCTAACCTGTTCTTCCTCCCACCTATCCCCTCCTCCCACCTCAAGCCGCACCTCCATCTCCTACCGACCAACCTCATCCCGCCCCCTTGACCTGTCCGTCCTCCCTGGACTGACCTATCCCCTTCCTAACTCCCTACCTACACTCACCTTTACTGGCTCCATCCCCGCCTCTTCGACCTGTTTGTTTCCTCTCCACCTATCCACTCCTCTATCCCTCTTCTATCCGCCTCCCACTCTCTCCCTATTTATTTCGGAACCCCCTTCCCCTCCCCCTTTTCTGATGAAGGGTCTCGGCCCGAAACGTCAGCCTCTCTGCTCCTATGATGCTGCTTGGCCTGCTGTGTTCGTCCAGCCCTGCACCTTGTTGTCTCTCATTATTGAGATATTTGTTTTGTTTTAATTCTTCAAAATTCTCTTGATTCAGGCACAGTCCCATTAGGTTGGAAGATAGCAAATGTAGCTCCTTTATTCAAAAAGGGAGGGAATAGAAAGCAGCAGACTGAAGTCTTAAAAGCTTAATACCGAAACGTTAAAAACTAAAACCTTAATATCTATCCCGCAAAAGATGTGAGAAATTATTGTTAAAGAAGTTATTACAAGCTGTTGGATATGTTCGAGGTAGCCAGGCAGGATCAACATGATTTTGTGAAAGCCAAATCATATTTGACCAATCTACTGAAGTTCATTGAGAAAGTAGCATTGGCTGTGAATAAAGGGGATTTGGTGTATATACTGTACTTAGATTTCCAGAAGGGATTTGATAAGGCACTACACCAAAGGTTATTGTGGAAAATAAAAGTTCATGACATAGGAGGTAGCCTGTTGGCATTGACAGACGATTGGCTGGCTAGTAGGAAGCAGAGGGTGGGTGTAAATGGGTCTTTTTCAGGTTCGCAAAATGTGTGAGCGGTCTGTCACTGGGATTGGTGCTGGGGCCTCAATTGTTGATCATTTATTGCAGTGATTAAAATGAAAGGTCAGAATGTTTGGTTGCAAAATACATAAATAACCAGTCAAAAATTTCTGAAGAAGGATCACTGGTCCTGAAATATTAACTCTACTTGCACTCCACAGAGGCCGCTAGACCTGCAGAGTTTCTTCAGCAATTTCTGTGTTTGTTCCATGTCTGCAGTACTTTCTTGATCACCTTGTTTGAGATGATGTGAATGCAGTGAAACAGTTTAAAGAAGATTTACCAGACTAATATGTAGATTGGATGGGTGGTCTCTATGAGGAAAGATTTAACCGGCTGGGCTTGTCTCTGCTGGGATTTGGATGAGTAAGAATCAACTTGATCGGAATTTATTAAATCCTTAGGGGTCTTGATAGGGTAGGTGACAGGATGATTCCTCTTTGGGAGAATCTAGAACTAGGGGTCACTGTGTAAAGGACTGTCAAAGTCCATTTAAAATAGAGATGAGGCAATTTTTTCTCAGTTTTCAGAGGTCTCTTCCAGAAAACATGGTGGAAGTAGAGTCTTTGACTATTTCTGAAGCAGATGTGGATAGGTTCTTGATAAGCAAAGTGGGGTGGTGAAAGGATTTCGTGGCAGATAGTGGTTTGGATTTGATTCTTCCACCAGCTGAGCCATCAGCAGGCCAGGCTTGAGGGGGTGATTGTCCAACCCCTAATTCCTTCATTGTACAATTCATATATTTTATTTATTTAAACTCATGGTATTTGAATGGTCATTACTTTTAAGGTCTGTAAGCAAATCTTGCAATAAAATGTTTGCCTTCAAATTCTTTTGGTCATTCTCGTACAAGGCAAAAAGTTCTTTCAAACTATTTATTTCAGTGAACAATTCACTGTAAATGTAATATTTTGCTGAACATTACCTTGCTGATAAAAGATGAAGAGGAACGGTATGTACCAAATAACTGAGATACTGACAATGCTATCACTGTTATAGATTAACTGTGATTATAAGAACTACATTATTTAAAGGTGGGAACATAATGACTCAATGTAACCTGAACATTAGATCAATAAGTAGCACGGGTTTATTTTTTTCAGATCTGACTTTATCCTGTCGCGTTTTGTGTAATAAAGCATTATTTGATGAGACTACCTTGTGATTTCACCAGGCATTTGTATCACTTAAAATCTGATACTCACTAAAAGAATGGTGAGATAGTGCATGCTAAAAATAAATTTGTTGCGTGTAGTCTTTTGTTTCTTGAGAGATAAGTCTGGGGAGCTTGCCGAATTTCTTTTGATTTTTCACTTAAAATAACACCCAGTTCCTCAGGGGAATAAAGTGAACAAATCTCAGGAGTAGAGCCCACAGTCTTTTATAATTTGCTTGTAGTACTGGAGAATTTAAAGGAGCATCCCCCAGTATTAATGGAGACAAAATTTGCATTTTCCTGACACTTATTGTTTCACCTGTCCATTTCCTTTCAAAATTGGGGAAATAACATATTTGGAAAGTCCAGATCATTTGAATATTCAACCTAATTGGATTTCTGATGCTCCTGTGGCTTTAATGAATTTTGTAATCCACGTATTTCACTCTAATAATAGTGACATTTTGATTTTTAGACCACATCTTGATCTTTCATTTTGAAATAGCATTTGATTTGTTCGTTTGATCAGGGGAGTGGGGGATCTGGTGTTGATTCAGGTTTCCCAATGTGAAACAAAATTGTCCTTTGTCAGATGGGGATACTTTAAAGGAGCAACGAGCTAAATAATTTTCGAGTAATCACTGCATTTTTGTTTGCTTTACAGTGTTAATGTATTTCTGATTGCATGTGATGGCGTTTTCTCTGTGTTAGCTCATCTAACACAAACCACAGTGACTCAGGTTCTTATTGAGACAGGTATCTGGAAAGTTGTATCAATTAACTACATGCAGAAATATGGCATCTTGGACCTCCAAATAATCTGATTTCCATGCTAACTTATGTTGCTAGTACATTATGCACACACTTGACTCACTGACTAACTGACTTTACTGCATTCTTAACTGACAAACAGACTAACTAACAGTACAAAGAATACGCTGGAGATCTTTTATAACTAGAGCATCACTTGTGATGTCACCTAGCTGTCTTAAAGATATATTGCCTTTCTGAGATCTGTGCAATAATACAAAGGTATATGTTTACCAGCAGTCTCAAAGTGTAATGTGATGCTTCAGTGTCACACTGAATATTCACTGTACTAATATATCAATGTCATAATTTCTGTTGTGTTCCAGATGCTGAAGAAGATGCAGTTTGGAGATTCAGAGACACAGCAGATCCCATTAGTTGAATTGGATAACCTGAACCATACTGACTGGGTGAGGAATGCATATTTATTTATGACTGCTAATACTGGTGTTCAGAAGAGAATTTACAAAGAGGTTAATGTTGATCTCATTTGATAAGTACATGATGGACTTTCACAAGAAACAGCCTCTTGGGAACTATGTAAAATTTTTCTATTGTATTGACATCAAAAACCTCTGCAAGTTTATATTAGATCCAGCAGTTTCATGTTAAACTTCCTGTTCATTCCTTAGAAGATCAAAAGGATCTCCATTCAAGTTACAGAGAACAAAGCTGTTCTAATGCATCAGACTGTCTCCTGTAATTTCATCACATTTAAGTAGCCTTTAGTAATAAAATCTATCGGAAAAGGAGCTCCAGGGGGAAAGTATTTTACTAAATATATACAAAAGCTTGGCAGAACAGAAATGAAAATGGAATTGTACATATACCCTCTTATATCTTTAAAAGTTAATCCTGTGATGCCCTGAATTTCTAAAATTCGATCATGGATTACATTTTCTTCCACTGAATGTAAGAACAAATCAGTTCAGATGAGTCAGTTAAGTAAAATCCTAAGGAGTTGATAGATGGAGTGTACATTCTCTGGATTTGAATCTCTGTAAATTGGTGGGGAAAATAGATTGAAAACTTTGAGATAGTAAGAACTGCTGATGCTGGAGTCAGAGATAACACAGTGTGGAGCTGGAGGAACACAGCAGGCCAGGCAGCATTAGAGGAGCAGGAAAGCTGACGTTTTGGGCAGGACCTTTTTTCAGAAATGGGGGAGGGGGAAGGGAGCTCTGAAATTTATTTCAGAGCTCCCTTCCCCCTCCCTCTGATGCTCCTCTGAAGAAGAGTCCTGACCTGAAACGTCAGCTTTCCTGCTCCTCTAATGCTGCCTGGCCTGCTGTGTTCTTCCAGCTCCACTCTGTGTTAAATTGAAAACTTTGTTTTGCTGTCGCATTTAAGATTTTTCTAAACTGTGTTCTATGTTTAGGTGCTTGTTTTTATTCTTTTGTGTACTAAACCCCCATTCTATTGTTAAAGGAACTCTGCAGTGACTAACCATCACATTAACTAAAATAAAAACTATATATAACTTATCAAACCATATTTTATTCTTGGATCTAACTTGGCCTATTGTGCTATCAGCTGGAATCAGAATATTTGTCAAGATAAAAATCACACTCCTTCTCATCTCCAAAACCTGAAGTTAGTGGGAATCGGGGATACACCAGAGGAACTTGTACCATTTGCAACTCCTCAGATTCTGAAGCAGTCCATGTTCATATGCAGCAAGACCTGGAATAAAATTCAGGCTTTGGCTATTATGTGGCTGTAAGGGCAGATCAGGGGCTGGAAATTGAGGTAACTCACTTCTTCACTCTCTAAAACCTGAACACCATCTAAGAGACACAAATCAGAGTTTGAAGGAATACTGTCCATTTGCCAACTACAACCACGATTCTCCAGGTGGGCAAAACAGGCATATTTGTAGGAACAATCCAAGTTCCCTTCTGAGCCATGCATCAACCTTGTTTGGAACTATATAGTTGTTTCTTCATTGTACTGTCATTAGGAGGAAACCTGAAACTCTGTTCCTAGCAATACTGGAGACTACACAACATGAATGACCATTATTCAAGAAGATGGGTCACCACCACCTTTGAGAGGGTAAATAGGGATAAGCAATAAACGCTGGCTTTGCCAGTGACATTCATGTCTCATTGCCACATTAAATGAAACACAATCTTGCCTTATTTAATACAACTGAAAAACATGCTTGAAGTGGAGAGACAAGTCATTTATTCCTTAGAGCAGGAACATGGGAACTGGAGGCAAGAATAGATAGTATGGAGTCTTGTGTCTCCTCCAAAATTCAATAAGACCATGCTGATCCACCTCACCCAACTAGCCTGTATTCATTGATTTCCTCAGTTTAAAAAAATCTGAGGCTGTCGGTGTCCATCTTGAATAAGTTCAATAATTGAGCATGTACACCTCTATGGGGTAGAGAATTTAAAATAATTTTCATCTGATGAGTGAAAAAATAAGTATTTTCAACTCAGTTCTAAATGGCTGGCCCCTTATCCTGAGACTATGGCTCCTAATTCTTGTCATTCCAGCAAGGGCAACCAAGTAGTATTTCAGCATCCACCTCCTCATTTACTCTGACCAGATATTCATTGATTCATATTTCACGATCTGCCATGGTGGGAGTCAAGCTCAAGTCCCCCAGATGTCTGGATTACTACTTCAATGACAATGCCCCTATGTCACTACCTCCCATTAAGTAAGTTTAAATTAATGAGATTTCATCCTGAGGTCATGTCTCTGACTAGCTTGGACTTTGTAATACCATTTCTTGGGGGTGTGTGTGTGTCGCTGGTTCAGCCAGCACTTATTGCCTATCCCTCATTGCCCTGGAGAAGATGGTGGTGAACTGCCTTATTGGAGTGTAGGGACATCCATAGTACTGTTATAAAAGGAATTCCAGGATTTTGACCTAGTGGCAGTGAAGAAATGGCGATACTGTCCCAAGTCAGGATGGTGAGTGGCATGGAGGAGAACTTGCACGTGGTGGTGTTCCCATGTATCTCCTTGTTGTTTGATATGGTAGGAAATGCGTGTTTAGAAGCTGTGTCAGTGGAGGCTTAGCAAGTTGCTGCAGTGCATCTTGAATGTAGTACACACTGCTGCCACTCTGCAATGGTGGTGCTAGAAATCAGTGTTAAGGTGCTGGGTGGGGTGCTAGTCAAGTAGACAGCTTTGTTCTAGATGGTGTCCATTGGAGAGTTTTCTATCACATTCTTGCCTTGTACCTTGTAGATCGTTCTCAAGATTTAGTGAATCAGGAAATGAGTTACTTACTATAGAATTCTGAACCTCTGACAAGTTCTTGTTGCCATTGTATTTATATGGCAATTCCAGTTCGATTTTGTCAGGGCTAACCCCCAGAATGTTGATAGTGAGGGATTCAGCGATAATAATGGGACATGATAATAAGCGGAGATGGTTAGATTCACTCTTGTTGAAGATGGTCATTCTCTGGTATTTGTGTGGTGCAGACATTATTTGCCACTTATCGAGCAAAACCTGAATGTTATCCAGGCCTCACTGCATTTGGAGATACGCTGCTTCAGTGACTAAGGATGCCTAGTTAACACAGCCTGTTGGAGCTATACATCTGCTCAGTGCATTTTTCATTTTTTTTGTGCCTACTCAATAGATTTAATTCATTCCGATTGCAACTTTTGTTTTGCTGTTGATTCTGCAAATTCCAAAGTTCCAGTTTTTGAACGAATAGTTTCCTTTGTGCTTGCAGGCACGTCTGTGGGTACAGTTGATGCGAGACCTCCGCCATGGTGTCAAACTAAAAAAAGTTCAGGAAAAGCAGTACAACCCCTTGCCTACAGAGTATCACCTTACTCCATTTGAGATGTTAATGCAGGACATTAAAGCACGCAAATACAAACTGCGCAAAGTTATGGTAAGCATCTTGTTTTTATTCCTATTTCAATCTAATGATGGTCTATCCTGTCACATGACTGTTCACATAGTGGGGAGCAACAAATCATTACAATGTGAGGGTCAAGATTATCTTACCACGTTGAAGCTCATCCACTTAACGTTCCGACATTACGGTTGCATTATAATGTTCAGTTGCATTTTGAATACCTGAAATCTTTGCTGATTTATGAACTCACTTGACAGAAATTAGAAATATTTGGGTAAAAGTGTTGTTCTCAATATATTGATTCTACTTTTTGGCTTATCTTCTGATGCCATTGCAGGTTTATTTCATGCATAATATAACATTTCATATTTTATATGTTGTATTATTGGAAAGTATATAATCAGCAGGATTCTCCTGTCCTTTCAGTTGGTCCTTAAAACTAATTAAATCAGCCAAACCTTTTGAAATAGAATTTGATAAATATTTAGTGATTCCATGCTCAGTAATTGCCATGAGCAATCTATTGCAAAAGTTGGCCATTCCCTATGTAAAATAATTCAATCTAAATTGTTTGTGAACCTTCACTTTTCTGAGCTTGAATCTGCACCCTGGAAATCTAGAGCTTAGCAGTTTTCGTTCAATCTGTTAGATTAAAAATCTTGGACAGTGAAGCATGGAGCTTTCCCACTATCCTGTGCTTTTTAATTTAACCTCATAGCTCAGTTACCTGAACATCTTTCCTGAATTGCTGCTTCTCAGATTTTTGAGTTGCTTTTTCGTCTGTTCTCTTATTCATTCTTCTTCACATCCAGGATTATTCTTGCTGTTTCCGGACAAACTGATGCAAGTACCTTTTTTTGAGAGATCCTACATGCAACACAGTTGCAGCAGTGCTTTGTAATTTCCCGGAAAAAACTGTTTAAATTTGTATCCTATTATTCTTGCAAGAAATCCAACATTACATTTCTATTTTTATTTAGGTTCTGACACTATTTGGATACTGAAGTTTATAAGTAAACCATCATTAAAGTTCCATTTTAGATTTTCTTGGATTCATTTCCATCATGACAACTTGGTTCATTGGATGTCACTCCTGTCTTTGAGTTAGAAAATCATAATTTCAAGCCTCACACTGTGTTGACATTCCAGTGCATTATCGAGGGAAGATCTGCATTGTTGGAAATGTGCTCCCTTTGAAGAAAAGTTTAAACTAAATTTTGTTTTACCTATTCAATTATGTAGAAGTCAGTTGACATTGCTTTGGTGTCGTGGCAAGCTTTTAATGTCTGTGTCCTCAACTAACACTACCGACAATGGGAATTCACAATCATCAACCTTATTGTTGCTTGTTCAATCTGCTATGTATAAAAATGGCTGTTAGAGTTACACATAAAAAACTTACTACATTTCAAAGAGCTCCTTTGTATGTGCAGCACTTTTATATACGATTGAGCTTTCTTTTCCTATTCATCCTATATTTAAGAAGTAAATTCCTTTACCATACTAGTTCCTCTGTAATTGAATCATAGAATCCCTACAGTGTGGAAACAGGCCCTTCGGCCCAACAAGTCCACACCGACCCATCCCCCTATAACCCTCCTAATCTCCACTTCCCAGAACACCACGGGCAATTTAGTATGGCCAATCCACCTAGCCTACGCGTCTTTGGACTGTCGAGAAAACCGGAGCACCCGGAGGAAACCCACGCAGACACAGGGAAAATGTGCAAACTCCACACAGACCATCACCTGGCGGTGGAATCGAACCCGGGTCCCTGGCGCTGTGAGGCAGCAGTGCTAACCACTGAGCTACCGTGCCATTGGTTGATCTCAATTACTATCCATATTTTTGTATAATCATATCTTAAAACTTGCACTTGATTCTGATAGCCTGGTAAACAGTATAGTTGAGACACAGTAACAATCCATCTTTACTATCCATCTTCAAAATCTCCCCAATCCCGACGTCATTGCAAGACCAACCCTCTCACTCATCCCCGCCTCCTTGACCTGCCCGTCTTCTTTCCCACCTATCCACCTCTCCCACCTCACTGACCAATCCTCACCACTACCTACCTTCTGTCACCACCCCACCTACCTTTCCCAGCCCAACATTCCCCACCCCCCCATTTATTTCAGAGCCCCCTTCCTCTCCTCCATTTCTGAAGAAGGGGCCTGACCCGAAACGTCAGCTTTCCTGCTTCTCTGATGCTGCCTGGCCTGCTGTGTTCCTCCAGCTCCGCACTGTGTTATAACAATCCATCTACTGACCCATTTGATTCTATGCATCCCTGCCATTTCACCTTGCATACTTTCTGTTTTTAAACAGCTTTTCATGCAGTGTTGCCTTCTATATTGAATTCTTGCAGCTTTTAAGTTTGATTAGAAATCTTGCATGTAGGATTTCTTGCTCACTGATTCCAACAAAATCTCGGTAGGTTTTGAGAAATCCCCTTAAGGCCATTTTTCTTTTGAGGATTATATTTGTCTGAAGTCAAGGAATTTACTTCTTAAGTATAGGATGAATAGGAAAAGAAAGCTCAATAGTATATAAAAGTGCTGCACATACAAAGGAGCTCTTTGAAATGTAGTAAATTTTTTATGTGCCGTTCTAACAGCCATTTTTATACACAGCAGATTGTACAAGCAACAGTAAGGTTGATGATTGTGAATTCCCATTGTCGGTAGTGTTAGTTGAGGACACAGACATTAAAAGCTTGCCACGACACCAAAAAATCTCAACGGTCTTCTACATAATTGAATAAGTAAAACAAAATTTAGTTTAAACTTTTCTTCAAAGGGAGCACATTTCCAACAATGCAGATCTTTCCTAGATAATGCGGTGGAATGTCAACACAGTGTGAGGCTTGAAATTATGATTTTCTAACTCAAGACAAGAGTGACACTGAGCGAACCAAGAAAGTCTAAAATTCCATCAGAGATACTAGGAACTGCAGATGCTGGAGAATCTGAGACAACAAGGTGCAGAGCTGGATGAACACAGCAGGCCAAGCAGCATCATAGGAGCAGAAAGGCTGATGTTTCGGGCCTCGACCCTTCATCAGAAATGGGGGAGGGGAAGGGGGTACTGAAATGAATAGGGAGAGAGGGGGAGGCGGATAGAAGATGGAGAGAGGAGAGGATAGGTGGAGAGGAAACAGACAGGTCGAAGAGGCGGGGATGGAGCCAGTGAAGGTGAGTGTAGGTAGGGAGTTAGGAAGGGGATAGGTCAGTCCAGGGAGGACGGACAGATCAAGGGGGCGGGATGAGGTTAGTAGGTAGGAGATGGGGGTGTGGCTTGAGGTGGGAGGAGGGGATAGGTGGGAGGAAGAACAGGTTAGGGAGGCTGGGACAAGCTAGACTGGTTTTGGGATGCGGTAGGGGGAAGGGAGATTTTGAAGCTTCCACTTTTGTCTGAAGTGGAATAAACAAACTTTGCAATAATACTGAGGTGTTTATTGACCCCCCAGACACCCCCACACATATTTGATCACTTCTATTTCCCCCTAACAGTTTTCTAAGATGCAACTTTTTAATTTTGCTTTTTCAGCATATGCTACCATTAAATTTGCCTTATCGAAATACCATTTCATTATTTACATTTCACTTTGTAACCCCTTTCATCAAGTAGACATCTATATCTGTTATAAAATTGGTGCATATTTCATATCTTTATTTTTCAGTTCCTCAAAAACAATGTTAACCTCGATTAAACAACATATCTGGGGTGGGCAGAGGGACAGGTGGGTGAGGAGGAATGTTGGATTTGGGATTTGATATGAGTAGATATATAGATAAATATATTTGCTTTTCAAGTATTTGCAATGTTGATAATGTACTTGATGAGTCAAATAATTCGTACTAACCAGTGCTCTCAGTTCAATCTAATTTGTTGAAATTTTCTGTTAAAATGATTATTTGGTGTATGTGGGCACCCATCAGTAATTGTCCAGAGGACAGTTAAGAGTCAAAAACATTGCTGTGTCTCTGGAGTCAAACATTGGCCAGACCAGATAAGGATAGCAAATTTCCTTTGTTAGTGAATCAACTATGTTTGTACATCAATCACTGGCTGTCACATGACCATTATTAGGCTATCTTTTTATTCCAGATATTTACTGAATTCAAATTTCACCACCTTTATGTGGGATTTGTAACTAAGTCCCCAGAAAGTCACCAGGAGTTCTGGATTATTGTCCAGTGACATCACAACTATGCCACTAACATCCCCTTATTTTTCTAATAATAATATAATTATAATATTTCTCCATGATTGAAATAAAAACAGAAAGCCCTGGGAAATATCTGCAGTTATGCAGCTTCAGTGTTTTCTTCACATTTGCGTTTGGTTTCTGAAGTGGGTACTCTGCAGAGTGAATGGATCCTGATGTGATTCAGCCCTTCTTTCAATATTTCTTTATCCTTGGATTACTGGATGTTGATTCAGTACACTCACTTTTATAATGTACTTTAGCTCAAAGGAAACAGATCTTGGAACAGGTCAGTATTTTGTTTTTAATGTGATGTGATATGCAATTTTATGCACACTGATAATTGATGTATTCTCTCTACCACCTCAGACTTGAAAAACATCTATGCAATGTGATTATGTATAGCAATTGTGCAACACTATTCACATGTAGCTAGTTTCTAACTAACCTGTTCAGAGATGTTATTACACAACTCTGGAGCCGATGGGACTTGAACCTGAGCCTCCTGGCTCAGAAGTATGCTACCACTGTATCAGAAGAGCCCATACTTTCCACACTTTATTTGCTGCAGTCTATTTCAAGCAAATGGGTGAAATACCTGTTAATTATATATCAGTTGTGTTTAATTATATGCAGGTGGATAGCATTAATTAGGATTTCACTTCAGCCAATTCAGAGAGCCATCAACTGAAACTGGAGAGGGAGGTGTATGCTTGTAATGTTTGTCAGGATAAATGTTAGACCGAGAAAAGATTACCTCCAGTATAATCCATTCTTGAATATAACAATATAGATTAGTGCTGCAGTGTATGATCAGAATTAGGTACGTAGTAAAGTAAATGAGAAGAGAGATGTAATCTCTTGGAAGGGTTGGATTTGGGAACTTGTGATTGCAGTCAACTTACACAAGTATAATTGAGCAGTGTAATATCGCTTCTAAAAGAAAAGCTAAAGTATCTCATTTGTTTCTGTGTATTTATTTTTACTGTGTCTGTAGTGGTGCTAACCTGTGAGCTAAGTATTTGATTGGAAGCTGGTATTTCTGTTCACAGGTTGATGGTGATATTCCGCCATGTGTGAAGAAAAATGCTCATGAACTCATTCTCGAGTTTATAAGATCACGGCCACCTTTAAAGCCGGTAAGAGCATGTCTTACTCCCAAGCTTTACACTTGTATTTTGTTTTCTCTCTGTAGATTTTGCTTCTTTCTCACTTTTTTCTTTTCTCATCCCTCGGGTTGCTGTTAGTGGAGACCTTTGGCTCTTCCACCTCACTGTTGGTGTTCCAGCTGTTTTTGACTGTTTCTCCCGTTTACCGTTTACTGTTTCCTCATTCATTATCACAGGATTGGTGAGGTCCTCGGAGGATTTTGTAAGTTTAGATAAGGGTTTCCTCTTATGACTGGTGAATCATCTCAATGCAAATGTTATCTGTGTATTAGCTTTTATCTCCTTCAAAAGTACAGTCACTGGCCCATGTCTGAATGGATGATATCTTTAAATGAACACTTTCAATCGGGTGTTAATTTAAGCCTCTGGCACTTCACTATCAATCCCTTATCCTTGTATCTGCAGCTTAGGCTGGGATCACATAGATAAGAAAATGAAATTTCTAAATAATTTCATGCTGTAGGTCAATGAATTTCATATTTTGAAGCTTTGATGTTTTAAAGAATTTTCAGCAGAAAAGAATTGGATGTTTTGGAAAGACTTTACTTATGAACGCAGGTAAAATGTGCATGATGACTAAAGCAAGATTCTAGGGTCTAGTTGAAAAACTGAAAGAACTGCAGATGCTGGAAATCAGAAACAACGTCAGAAATTACAGAAAAAATTCAGCGGATCAGGTAGCATCTGTGGCTAGAAATCAGACTTAACGTTTTGAGTGTAGGGACCCTTTCTCAGAACTGTAGCTCTAAAATCATGCTCCATTCTTGTAGGATACCTTTTCAAACAACAGTAAAACCTTTTATTCAGTTTCCACATTTGAATGAAGAAGTCAGGAACCACCTCAAATTTATCATTGAGTCTTCGAAAACTGCAGATACTGATTTAAAGTGATTTTATTTCTCTAATGTTTTCCAATTCACTTTATTTGTAGAAATAAACTAAAGATTAAATGTTTTGAGTTATATATGTGCGCATTTAGTTTTATTTGATCCTTTTCCTGAGTAAATAAATCAAGGTGCATTATCTCTCCCAGTAAGACTTCATTATTCAACAGACTGGAAGAATACAGTTTCCATTATTAGGAGCAGATTATGGGGGCTAAGCATAGTATTTATTAAATTATTATTATTATTTGGATCTTGGGGACAGGAGGAAAAGTAAAGAGAATTTAAAAAGGAAGAATTTGGTTGGTGATACAAAAAATCAGTTTGTGCTGATTTTGACTAGGAAAAGCTGAGCTGTGACTGTTGGAAGGGAATTGAATAACTTAACCAAATAATTAATTCTTAAACAATGAATCTATGTCAATGGTTGTTTTCAAATTTAGGGAGTGCATTTATAACCTTGTTAGCAAGCAAATTTACAGTGTTTATTCAGTGGTCTATGCTGTGCAGCTATCAGTGACGTTACATAGCACTGTGCTAAATCCCATCAAACACATAAAGAAACATAGTATTGCAGATTGGCCTAAAATATTCTCTTTCTTGCTACATGTGTGGTGATGCAATCAGCTCTTCAGAGTGTTTAGGAATTATACAACTTCAACAATTTGAATATTACTTTGAGGTGAACTCGTCAGGATACCGGACCCAACAGTTCAAATTTCACTAACACCTGTTTCCCAGCAGTATCCTTAACTGTGTCATGATTTTCTCACTTAAATTGGAAGGAATGGTTAGGAGTCAGTCAAATAGAAATATTAAACTCAAACAAAAATAGGATGTGGTCATAACAAGCAATTTTTGTTTTGTAAATGATCTGACATTAAGGCTACTCCTGAAGTTGACATGGAGATGCTGGTGTTGGACTGGGATAGACAAGGTCAGAAATCACACCACATCAGGTTATAGTCCAACAGATTTATGTGAAAACACCAGCTTAGTCACAGAAGGAGTAAGACTCCAAAAGCTTGTGTTTTCAAATAAATCTGTTGGACTATAACCTGATGTTGTGTGATTTCTGAAATTTGTACAGCTTTATTACTGTGATTTTATGTTTTCTTGAGATTCTTTCCAGCCTACTTGTATTTTCCTGGATCTGCTGGCAGTTTAAATTATTGTGAGCAAGTAAATACAACAAAATTGAATCCTAATGTCTCAGTGGAAATGTTGCCTTCAGACAACTTTTAGCAATGGAAAAACATGCAATGAAAAAATAGTCTGGTCATGTCTATTTTAAACGTGGAGGTCACTTAACTTGAGTTTTGTAGTTATATCATGATCCCCTTAACTTGCTCCTTGAGGGAGTTTGTATCTGACAAATGACTTCCTGAAGTAGTCCAGAAGCAAGGTCAGAGGAGTGAGGTTTATGATCCGGGGTTTAAGTAAGTTGGATGTATACCGAGGTTAATGAGGACAAATTCACCATAAATTTGACATTCAAATTATTGTCGGTAAATATTTTCATTGTTTTGCTTCCATTTGACCTATCTGTATGAGTGGCCTAGATGTTTAATTCCTCTTAAATCATCTGCAGTTCAAAAGCTACAGCTGACACACTGCCTCAGAATCAACTGCCTTGCATTTATCAAAGTACATCTACTGTTTGGCCTAGTAAATTTCTATTGGTAGATGATGTTTGGTAGGATTGTGCAGACTCTGCTCACTATATGCTTCTGTGTGCACCTGAAAGTGCATAGAGACTATACAATATACAGCACATAGTTGCTTTATTTGAATTTGTTCACCAGACAAAAAATGGAAATTGCATGTGAATCATAGAACTTTTATAGCGTATTTTTAGACCATGTTCTTTCAAGGTGAAATTAAAGCCTCTGTTTAATTGCTCTCAGGTCTCTGAAAGAAATCTTGGACCAAAGCCTCCGAAGCCACGTAGTCTGCACGAACGAATTCTGGAGGAGATTAAATCAAAGAAAAAACTTCGACCAGTGCACACAGCTGGTCAAAATAAGAACAAAGGTGAGTTACAGTTGTTCCCTTAAAGGTAAATGAGAAAGCTATTGGATTTCTTTTTCTCATGGCAGATTTATAATTCAGTTTCAGTTACCCAAATTTCAGGTTAATCTTATCCAACAAAAAAAATTTCCAATTCAAGCTTGAAAATGTCCACTGACCCAGTAGAGAGTTCTGGTCTGTGCGATCGGTAACCCTGCCAGAACACTCGGGCAGCCTAGATCACCCTCCAGTCCCTGCTTCTGACACTGGACTTAATTTAGGAATGTGAGGTGAAGAAGGCCATAGACAGGTGTTTCAGCGCAAAGAATCGCTGTGTTTATTAAATGCAAAAGTGAGTATATCACAAGAAATAAAAATGGCTAAAGTGATAAACCGGGAAATAAAATACAGGGGCTAAAAAGGCAAATTCAAAACAGTGAAACTGAGACTATCCGTTATTAACACAGGCTAATTACTATTAGAAACTAAACAGTAGTTTCAAACACAGACACTTTAATCAGACTTCCTGACCTTGGGGTACCCTGCACTGTCACCAACCCACCTTCCCCCTCCCTGCTAGCTAGGTTTCAAGGAGATAGCTGTGCAGGTAGTTCTCAGGGAGCGTAGCTGTCTGGGATAGTCAAAACTGCAGATGTTGGAGTCAGAGATAAGCGTGGAGCTGGAGGAACACGGTAGGCCAGGCAGCATCAGAGGAGCACGAATGTTGATGTTTCGGGTTGGGACCCTCCTTCAAAAATGGGGAAGGGAGCACAGAAATAAATAGAAGGAGGAGGGGTGGGACTGGGGAAGGTAGATGGGATGGTGATGAGGTATGTGCAGGTAGGGAGTGGTGAGGATTGGTCAGTGAGGTGCGAGGAGTGGATAGGTAGGAGAGAAGATGGACAGGTTGTGTCAGGTCATAAGGTCATGCAGGCAGGGTTGGTCATGGGATGAGGCTGGGGGCGAGGAGATTTTAAAACTGGTAAAATACACATTTACGCCATTGGATTGTAGGCCCCCAAGTCGGAATATGAGGTGTTGCTCCTCCAGCTTGCTGTCTGGGATCCCTCTTCTGTTGGTAGCTGCAGGGATGGCTGTCAGCCTCTCTCCCAGATCAGGGCTAGCAGTTATACAGACTGTATATTCCATTATCACCTTGCAAATCTGTGTTATCTGTTGTGTTTCTGTCTTCCCCTTTGTGGTGAATCGGCTTCCTGATAGTTTAAAATAGGTGTAAATGTGTTCTGATTAAGTGGAATGCCTAGTATTTCTGCGAATGAATATTAACTGAAGTTGAATGCCTTGGTACCTCCTGAAGAGTCCAAGATGTCTGAAGTTGATAGAGATAACACAGCGTGGAGCTGGAGGAACACAGGCAGCATCAGAGGAGCAGGAAATTTGACGTTTTGGGTCAGGACCCTTCTTTAGGTGTGGTTCATTGTTCCTTTGGGGCTGAGGCATCAATAGGATTTCTAACGGAACCTTGGTTCCAGACAGCTATCCCTGTGATTGTGTATTCCAGAGCTTAGCCCAGCTGCCTTTGTCTTTTGTTTTAAAAGTTCTATTAAAAATACAGGGGTTTTGGTCCAGTATTCTAAATGACAGGGATTTTTGTTCACTCCTACATTGTGCATCTATTCTTTGTGTCATTCTGGTGCCAAATTTTGTGCCAGTCTCGTGCACAAAATTAGGACTGGTTTCAAAGTTCCCTCTAATCAATTAATTTAATGGCAGAAGGAGGTTAAGTGATTCCAGAGCTAGGTTGCTCTATTAATCCACCTTAGTCACCTGGCAACAATGTGATGCTCCGTGCTATTGGTCAAAACCTGGAACTTTTTCCCTCAGTAACAGTCAAAAAACAATGATAGTCTGTAGCTTGAAATCCAATACTTTGAACAAAAGTGGTCAGCTTGTAGTTAAAGTTTCAGAGGTGAAGTATGAGCAATCTGAGTTGAATTTCCTACATCAAGCTGCAGCTTGTGCCAATTACTCCTATCCTTCATCAAATTTAAACAATGAGTAAGTTTTATTAATTGAAACAGAATTTGGGGGGATTTGATCAAGCGTTTTTTTTTCTGCCTGAGTTAAAGTTTTTTTTAAAAACACTTAATTGTCTGTGTGCAATGGCAATCCAATTGCAAATATACGCAACGTACTCATAAGGTGGCTCATGTTTATGTAACTATCCTACTATTAAGTTAAAGTAGACAAACTTGTCCAGTCATTGTAAATATTAAAGAGAATTCTAATTTGGATTTAATTCCATGCAGATTTAAAATTCCATTCTCTAAAATACAAGTTCAGTGATTCAAGATTAATCCTGCACTTGGCAATTGTTGATGCAAGTTGAAATTAACTATTTTGTTTGTGTTCATATTATAAATTCATTGCCTTTGCAGAGGTGACCTTTGGATCTCTGCCATGCCTTGTGCGTGCCTGCTCTGAAGACCTAAAGTCTACTTCATGCATAGATCTCTCTGTTCCTGAGTCCATGGGAAGCACACAGCGACCTAGACCCAGAGTATTACTAAAAGCCCCAACACTGGCTGAAATGGATGAAATGAACATTTCAGAGGTAGGAATATAACCTTAACTACTTCAACTAAAATGTTTCTAACTAATTTGATACCTGATAGACTTTTAGGAGAAAATTAAAATCTATGCCACAACATTCCTGATGGTTTAACAAGAGCAAAATTTGACTTTCCCTGGAACAGTGAGCATTAAGACTTATCAGCTAATCACCACGTAGCCAAATATTATAGACCCAGAAGACATTTTCATTTCACTCTCAGGAAATGGACATCTCTGGCAAACTCGCTTTTATTGACTGTAGTTTCTTAGTGGCCAACTAGTTGGGATTTAATCATGTCACATTCTTCTCCCTTTGTCCCTTTGGGTTTCCCGAGTGCTGCGGTTTCCTCCCACAGACCCAGAGATGGTGCAGGTTAGGCAGATTGGCCGTACTAAATTCCCTGTAGTGTCCAGGGATGTGCAGGCTAGGTGGACTATCTTTGGGAACATGGTTATAAGGATAGGGTAGGGAGTGGGTCTGGCTGAGATACTCAGTGGATGGTCAGTTTGGACTTGATGGGCCGAATGACCTGTTTCCACACTGTAGAGATTCTATGATTTGTGAATTAGTTGGCTTTTTTCCAACAATCCAGAAGCTTCCAGATCATTCTTATCAATTTTGCTTTTTTGATTTCTAGAAGTTTTAAGCTGATTTTCAGACTTTCAAACTTCAATGGTTGAGTGATCCATGCCTCTGAATTGGTGATCCATTAACATAATTATAAAATTATTATTTCCCTGAAGGGTCCTTGGTTGTCTTGAGAGGTTAGGCTGAGTCAGCAAATTTGCCAGTAGCAGCTGATAGTGGATTTGTGCAGTTCCTTTGTATTGCATTCAAGTAAAACAGGAGTTACTGTTAAATGCTTTAACTAGTGCCTATCTATCATTGTTTTTGACTTGTGATGGAAATGCTAGGCATGGATGTGGCTGAATTATTTAAAGAGGATTCAGGTAGAAGACTGAGATGAATGTTACTGCAGCAATATTAGTAATTATTACCATTTACTTTACAACATGTTGCTGAGAAATCATTATATATAATTAGGCATTGATACTTTACATTTACACTAGTAGGAATTTTCACTTTTCTTAATTGGAATTGACGAACAGACATTTGGGCTTCATTCATTTGGTTAACTTGTATGAAATTGTATTATGATGTGGAGGTGCCGGTGTTGGACTGGTGTGGACAAAGTCAGAAGTCACACGACACCAGGTTATAGTCCAAGAGGTAGTCCACCTGATGAAGGAGCAGTGCTCCAAAATCTTGTGATTTCAAATAAACCTGTTAGACTATAACCTGGTGTCGTGTGACTTCTGAAATTGTATTATTTTAAATTAAACCGTGCTGTTGGTCACTCTGCCAGAGAATCTGAAATCAAATTTCCACCGTTGGCAGTTTGAGCATTTGAATTCCACTTAAAAATTCTGCGGGGGGGTGGCAGAAAAAGCCACAATTAGTTAAAGTCACTGTGAAGCTGCTAGATTGAGAAAGAACCCAACTAGTTCACTGTTTTCTTGTTGGGATGATTATCCTTACCTGATCTCTGCTATTGGTCATTTTCAGTCCACACTAACGCATATATTTTAAGCAGCCTTCTGAAGTGAACTGGTCAGCCACTGTTGCAGTAGTGACATCTCTGTAATCTTGTTCATTTCCTATTTATGAAAGTGCTCTGTGTTAATTAACAAGTCCCACCAACCTATAATGTCGTAGAAACCAGACTTTAGAGATGTCTTCAGTGTACCGAATCTCTATCTTAATACAAACACATCGAACGCTGGAGAACCTCCCGGTCTAGTAGTGTTTGTGAAGAGAGGAGGAGTTTTAATATCTTGATTCCAGTATGACTCTTCTTCAGAACCTCTTAGATGATAACTCCATCCTACTACTGATTTGGGAGCAAACTGAAGGGTGACTGTTTCTTTATTTTAATGAAATCCAAATGAGAACATAGTTACTGTTGTCAAAGATTGCAAATAAATCCATCAAGATTTGGGATATGAGATGTTAACATTTGTATAACTTGTTTTCTCATTCCAGACCAATTGTTTTCCTTATTACTTTTTATCAAACAGGTGTGATGTTGTTTGTAACTAGAAGAAGCTCATAAATAAATTTCAATAATGCACAAATTCAGAAATGTTTCTTTCATTGCCTTTTTTTCAAAAGGAGGAAGAGTCACCAAGCGGAGAGATGCGAAGAGTTACCAGCTCCCCTGTTCCTTTAAAACGTGATCGCTCACTGTCAGAACATGATCTCCTCCATTTGCAGTCCGAGTTAGCTCTGTCCCAATCTGAGTCTGCTTATCTCTCAAAGGTTTCTGAGAATGAGACTGTAATTGGGACAACACCTTTGCACAAAGGTGAGTTAATACGATTTTTTTTAGAATCATAGAATTTTACAGTAGAGGAGGCCATTTAATCTATTACTGGCTCTTGAAAGAGCTACCCAGCTAGTCCCATTCTCCAGTCTTATCTCCGTAGCCCTCTAAATTAATCACTTTCAAATAAATATCCAGCTCTATTTTGAAACCTGCTATGGAATCTGCCTCCACCGCTCTCCCAGGCAGCACGTTCCAAATCCTAACAACTCTAAGTAAAGAAGATTCTCCAAGTTTTTGAGAAGACTTATAGCTCGGGTTGTGGATGATGTTGTAGACTTGCTTGCCGAGCTGGTGTGTTTGATTGCAGTCGTTTCGTCACCCTGCTCAGTAACATCATCAATGTGCCTTTGGTGAAGCTCTGGTGTTCTGTCCCGCTTGTTATTTATATGCCTTGGTTTGCTGGGGTGGTTGGCATCACTTCTGGTTCTGTTTTTCAGTGGTTTTTATATCGGGTCCAATTCAATATGTTTGTTGATGGAGTTTAGGTTGGAATGCCAGGCCTCCAGGAATTCCCTGGCATGTTTCTGTTTGGCTTGTGCATTTATGGATGTGTTGTCCCAGTCAAATTTGTGTCCTTCTTTGCCTGTGTGTACTAGACCAGTGAGAATTGGTTGTGTCTCTTGGTGGCTAGTTAGTGTTTGTGTATCCTTATTGTCAGTTTTCTTCCAGTTTGGCCTATGTAATGTTTCTCACAGTCCTTGAATGGTATTTTGTATATTACATTAGTTTTATTGGATGTGGGTATGGGATCCTTTACGTTCATCAGTAGCTGTTGCAGGGTGGTTGTTGGTTTGCGAGCTACTCTGATACCTAGGGGTCTGAGTTGTCTTGTGGTCATCTGATATGTCCCTGAAGTACAGAAGGGTGACTAGTGTGTCAGGCCGTGTTGTGGTCTGTTGCGGAGATAACGGCAAATTGTGCCCTTTTGGGTATCTATTCCTTTTAAAAACTCCATAAAATTGCTCCACTTCTGCTTTGTGCAATTTTGGGTTGCTGCAGTGTGTTGTGGCTCGTTTGAATAATGTCCTGATGCAGCTCTGTTTATGGGTGTTGGGCTGGTTGCTGGTGTAATTAAGTATCTGGTCTGTATGGGTGGTCTTTCTGTATACGCTAGTCTGGAGTTCCCTGCTGTTCTTGCATTCCACCATTACATCTAAGGAGGGTATTTGGTTATTGTTCTCATCATCTTTTGTGAATTTTATTCCGGTGAGGATGGTGTTTAGGGTCGGTGGGTTTCTTCTAGTCTTGTGTATTTAATAATCACGAAGGTATCATTTACATAGCGGACTTAGAGTTTGGGTTGTATTGTAGGGAACACTGTCCATTCTAACCTTTTGTATTACTGTTTCTGCAATCAGTCCTGATATTGGGGATCACATTGGTGTTCCGTTAATTTGTTTGAATCCACAGTCGTTGAAGGTGAAGTGGGTTGTGAGGCACAGAACCAGCAGTTTCAGGGTGCTGTCCTTGTTGATGTTATTGGTGTCATGGGGTGGCGATATACAATGCACTGAGAAACAGAACCAGAAGTAATACCAACCACCCCAGCAAACCGAGGCATATAAATAACAAGCAGGACAGAACACCGACGCTTCACTGGAGGCACACTAACGATGTTACCGAGCAGGGTGATGAAACATCTGCAATCAAACACACCAGCTTGGTGAGCAAGTCTACAACCATAAGAAGATTCTCATCACCTCACTCCGAACTCTCTTGTTGATAATCTTGAAATTGTGGCCCCAAGTTACAAAGATCCCAACTCATGCTAACAGAACATCCTTGTTTGCCCTGTCAAAATTGTTCATAATTTTAAACCTCCGTAAGGTCACCTTTTTAATCTTCTCTGGTCCAAGGCGAATAAGCCCACTCTCTAATCTTTCCTTGTACCTAAAACCCTTCATTCCTGCTACCATTCCAGTAAATCTCCTTTGAACTCTCTCCAGTGCTTTTTTTTCCATTGAGATACTGTTCATTCAGAATACAATGTCTTCTATAGCAAGAACTAATAATTAATGTTATAGATCTCTCCAGGAATACTGTCATGTTTAAAGTTGTTAAGTAATACAATTCAAAGCCTTCTCCCAACCCTAACATTTCTGTCATACTATTCAAACTCCTGGTTCTAGGAAGACTTACTTAGTTGATTATTTACAGAAAAACCAATACACATCTGCCAATAGTTTGAAATCCAAACTCTCTCTTTTCAAATGCTGAATGATTTCACAGCTATTGAATAAATATTAGAACATCTTCCATATTGACAGGAGAGAGAAATTGAACAAATGAAGCACTGCTTTACTTTTCAAGCTTTTACATGGATAAAATTTTAATACCTGTAGGTCCGTCGTAGGGGTGGGTGGGAGGAAGGACAGATATGAGCAGGAACAAGAACAAAGGGAAAGTCTGAATGAGTAGAGGGCACGAGAGAATAAATGACAAAAGGAAGAAGTAACAGAATAAAAGAAACAAACAATACTTCAATGAACAACAAAAGGTTAAAAACGCAATCATTATAGTTAACTGCTCCCTGAATGAAATGGAAGCAGTGTTTGTGATCTGAAAATGTTGAGCTGAGTCTAGAAGGCTGTCAAGTACCCTATTGAAAGATGAGATGCTATTCCTGAAGTTTCCATTGAGCTTCATTAGAACAGTGTCTCGGGCTGAAAACGGGGATGTCTGAGTGAGGAATTGAAATGAAATGTGTTCCGAATCTTGTGAATTGAAATAAAAATGTAAAGGGGCTCTTGGGCACAGTGGTAGTGTCACTATCCCTGGACTGAGAGACCTGGGTTCAAGTCCCAAATGTTCCAGAAATGTGCAATAACATCTGTGAACAGGTTGATCAGAAAAATAGGTTAATTTAAGAAAAATGTTTGCTTAATGGTCATATGATACCTTTCATCTCGTGGGTGAAGACGAGACAGCATTATGAGCAGTGAATACAGTTTACTAATCGAATGTAGTGAAAATCAGCCACTGTTTGATCCTGAAGATGTGTTTGGGACCTTGTACCATGAAAAGGTAGGAGACAAAAGGGACAATTTTGCATGTCTTGCACTTGCATGTGAAGGTATTGTAGGATACTGGGGGGATATCACAGACTAATCCAGGTACACAAGTGAGACAAGCACTTAACTTCTAATTAAAAGTTCACAGCACTACTGAATAATTCTTCGACTTCACCATTCTAGTTTTGATTTCTACAATTGCATAGTGCCAAAAGAGTAACAGTAGTAATTAATAAAGCACTTGACAATTGTGGGCAATGTTGCTCTTAGAGAAATTAAAACTGAAGGGACTTGAGCTGATCATTTTGAAGTGTTCTATGGTCATACCGGTCTGGATTTTCTAAGGTATGGCAATCACACACTTCTTTACATTAAGGAAGAGTTCCGCATTTCTGACAGATTTTGATCAGGGCTCCTTCAGAAATGCAAATCTATACTTTTGGGAGAACCATGTCCTGTCCTGACAGTAGTCAGCTGTGTATTCTGTGCTTTAAATGTCCAACATCACAAAAAACTACTTTAACTGCTTCTGAGAAAGGATGAGTACATGAGTTAAGTGGAAGACTTAGGGTGCAAGGTGGTAAGGGTACTAGCTAAGTAGACTGTTTAGGTCAGGTTGACAGGAGATACTGGGTCTGCTAGTGGAAGGTGGGAGCGGGGGCTGGTGTGTGTTGAGTCTGGATGTTGGGGAGGAAAGGCAGGATCTACCAGCAGGGAGATGATGATGTTGATTTCTGGGGAAGAGGAGAGGGAAATGTTGGGCATCGAGGGTTGTGTCCCTTGTTGGGAGGGCTGTTATTTGCAGGGGGTGGGAATTGTCTGGTTGGGGGATGTGGGGGAGTCAGGTCCTGGGTGCAGGGTGTGTAGCGGTGCAGGGTCTGGGGTTTTGTAGTATATTAGAGGTCACGTTATTAGTCAATACTGTGTGGAGCGGGCAGAGCACAATAGGTCAGGCAGCATCGGAGGAGCAGGAAAGTTGATGTTTCAGGTTGGGCTACAGAGGCAGTGAGGTTGAAGAAGGGAATTCCAGAGTTAGGAGTCTTGCCAACTGGAGGTGCAACCAGAAGTTTCTTCTTTTTTAATCGGTTAAGTTTATATAATGAAGGGAAGATTTGGATTTGCGTGGCACTTTTCATGACGTTCGGGTGTCAAAAGCACTCTTCAACAAATAAAAAAAAATGACATCGAAGTGGGGTTTTTGTTACAACGCAGGAGATCAGAGTTGAGGAGCTGGGTCTCCTTGAATCAGAATAAAGAAATAGCATTTTGTGGAAAAAGGCAAGGGAGCTTTACATTTTTAAAAAAGAAAATTGTCCCCTCAGGTTTCAGTGTGGTTTATATTGGGTATTCAGTATATTGGGTAATAACTGAATAGGGCATGAAATCCTCTTAGGTATATACATTCAATAGCTTATCTCATTACTCTCAGCTTGGTGTTTAATAGGTTATGTTGCTGAGCTATGCAACTGTCAAATATTCTCACTTTTACCCTACTAGTCCAAACATTGGGACCTCAAATTAGGAAGATAAAATTTGCCAGAATTCCAGCCTTGCTATCCGTGGACATTTTGCTAATAGTACGGGTGTCGGATGAAGTCATAATTTGACTTGGGTATTAGTTCTTTGTGATTGAAACGTTTTACGACTGAGTACGTGAAAAATATCTGTTTAAAAAAAATAATAAATGTTAGCTCATTCAAAGGAGGAGAGAGGAGAAAATTAATGATGAAAAAGAATGTTCTGCTTTACTTTTCACTGTACCAAATTTGTACAAAAATGACTCTGCTTATTCTTTCAGTAGGCAAGAATACAGACACGCAGCCTATAAATTTCCAGTCAGCTCGAAGCACTCGTTCTTGTTTGGTAATGGGAGATAACCACCAGTCTGTCAAGGGTATTCCAGAGACTCTTCCAACCTTTTCCAAACGTCAATGGCTGGTGAGTACCTGTTCTCACTACTGGAAAAGTCTTGTTGGCTGATTCGTACATTTTAAAGATGCAAAACAGATGTCTAATATCTGTCTGCAGCTGCTTCACTGCAAAAGACCTGACTGATCATTAATGTAACAGTACAAGCTTCAAATCTTAGATGATGGCTTTGATTTGTTGTAGGTTCATTTCAATCTTTGGTGAAATAAATGAGGGGAAACCTGGATCAACCACAGTAGCACATCTCTCCTGATCTGCTGAAGTCAATTATTGGGATCTTGAAGCAGTATTTTGTTACATGCTTGGACATAGTAGAGGGCATTTTGCACCACAGACCTACCAGGATTATCAAGATCTGTGTCCTATAACTTTGCTTTTTGAAGATCCTAAGCATGAAACCGTAGATCAGTGCATTAACAATGGTCAAGGGAATATTGTTGCTGACACATCTTAACAGCCTGCAAGAGTATTACACAATGCTGCCGTTGAGAAAGACTTTCATCTAAGTGCCTGAAACGTTCATTTAGCTAAGAAAATGCATCAATATTATCCTCCGTATTGCTCCAGCTGCTGTGAATCTTTTTACCTCCTAGTTAAATGATGGTAAAGCTTGAAACAAGCAAAATTCATATTCCTGTGTAAGTGATCAATATGCAACTTTTATAATTCATTCATGGAAAGAGGCCATGACTGGCTGGGCCTGCATTCATTGCCCATTCCTAGTTTTCCTTGAGAAGGTGGTGGTGTGTTGCCACCTTTAAACTGCTGTCGTACATTTTGTTTAGGTCGACCCAGAATTCTGTAAGGGAGGGAATTCCAGGATTTTGACGCAGAAACAGTGAAGGTACGGCAATATATTTCCAAGTCAGGATGGTAAGTGGCTTTGGAGGGGAACTTCCCAATGTATCTGCCACTTTGCCCTTCGAGATGGAAGTAGTTATGGGTTTGGAAAGAGCTTTTCTAAGGAGCCTTAGTGAATTTTTGCAGTTCCTCCTGTAGATGTCCCACACTCCTGCTGCTACTGAATAGCAGTGGTGGAAAGAGTAAATGTTTGTGGATGTGGTGCCAATCAAGGATGCTGCTTTGTCCTGGATAGTGTCACTTATTTGTGCACTTGGAGAGTATTCAGACACTCTCCTTTGCAGAAGGTGGACAAGTTTTGGGGAGTCAGGAGGTAAGTGTACTTACCGCAGGATTCCTAGCTTCTGACGTGATCTTGTAGCCACAGTCTTTATATTTTAGTCCAGTTTATGATCAATGGTAACCTCTAAGACATTGATAGGGGAGAATTTGGGGATGGTTAAAAACAAATTTAATGTCAAGGGGTAATGGTTAGATTCTGTCTTCCAGATGTGGACATTGCCTGGCATTTGTGTGGTGTGAACGTTACTTGCCATTTCTTAGCCCCAAGTTTGGCTTGGGAAATGCCTGCAATTTAAATATGGACTAGTTCCACATGTGAGGAGTCACAAATGGTGCAATCGTTGCCAAACATCCCCACTTCTGACCTTATGATGGAGGGAAGATCATTGAAGCCAGTTGGGCCTACATCTTATTATTTTTACCCCAGTGTTTTCAGTGATAGTATATGTCGTGTCCTTTTGCAGCTAATGTTTCCAAGCCTTCTGACCGGCTGTTGGTTGGTTGGGAATTGATAGGTCCTGTACGAGTTTATGCTGGCCCTGCAGCAACGTCCAGTGCTTTCCTGGTTGAGTGGGGTTCTGCCCTCAAGTGCAAATGGAGCAACTTGAACTGTGCCCTAGCACACAAGCTATGTCGTATCTAGTGGACACATGAAAAGCACAATGGAACTTAAAATACTCTGACAATCCAGCCAAGGCAGCCTGCTGGAAATGTGAGCCTCATGCTACCGTTCACTGGAGATATGACAACAATATCTTTGCATTTAATATGGTGGCTCTATGAGAAAATTTACAAATGTGTGAAACAACAATAGAAAAACCAAATGTTAAACTAAATTTTAAAGAAAGAGAATTGGGAGTTCTACACAAAAGCAAATGTCCAAATCGCTGGCTGCTAAGGAGGGGAGAAAGCTCGCAAAATGGAAGGTTATAAGTGACAGTAGGGGTTCAGCCCAATATAATGTGTCAGAACCAAAATTAGTGCAAAGAAAAGGTTATGCAAAGGGGCCCAGAATCGTGTGCATGGAAATATTGGGCTTAATTAGGCTGAAAGATGATGAATGCAAAGATTTGAACATGAGTAGTACATAGACATTGTGCATCAAAACTGATGCATGGAAAGCAAATGGGTAGTGGATGCGAGAATCGCCAACGATAAGGACTCGGTAAGAATAGGATCTATAGTACAACTTGAGTAACAGTTGCAATCTGCAAAAGGCATGCATTAGGAGATTCACTATTATTATTCTCCAGGACTATGCTGAATACCAGTGGTTTATTTGATTGTTCAGTGCTCAGCAATAACCTATTTGCCAATCCTCAGTTTGGATTTCTGTCAGGCTACTCAGCTTCCTGACTCCATTACTGCCTTGTCCAAACATGGACAAAAGAGCTGAACTCCAGAGGCAGGTGTGAGTGACTTTTCTTGGCATCAGTGGCAATTAACTAACTGGAGCCCCTGCAAAACTGGAATCAGTGTGTATCCAGGTGAAAACTCTCTGCTAGTTGGAGTTATACCTGGCACAAAGGAAGACGGATGTGGTTATTGGAGGTCAGTCATCTCAATCCAAGGGCATCTCTGCAGGAGTTCTTCAGTGTTGTGTCCTAGGCCTAACCATCTTCAGCTGCTTCCTCAATGACTTTCTGTCCATCTTAAGATCAAAATTGAGGATGTTAATCAATGATTATACATGATTCTGTTCTGCATAATTCACAACTCCTCATACAGGAGTCCATGTTCATAATATAGCAAGACTTGGATAACGCCCAGGCCTCGGCTGATAAGTGGCAAGTAACATTTTCACCACTGAAGGGCCAGAAATGACAAGCTCTTTTACCCATTGCTTCTTGACATTCGGTGTATTACCATCATTGAATCCACCACAATCAACATGCTGGGGATTACAAGTGACCAGAAACTCAACTGGATCAGCCATGTAAATTCTACAGCTACGAAAGCAGGTCAGATGGAATATTCTGTGTCTGGATAACTGGCGCTCCAAATACACTCAAGATCTCAACACCAACTTGATTGGCATCCCATCCACCACGTTCAACATTCATTTCTTCATACACTGCTGCCGCTATGCGTTAGTGGTACCATCTACAGGATGTACTGTAGTAACACACCTTTGCTAGTACCACGATGGTACACCATCCTGACTTGAAGCGATATCACATTCCTTCACTTTCATCTGGACCAGATCCTGTATCTCCCTAACAGCAATATGGGTGTCCCTGCACCATGTGGACTGCAGCTCACTTTAAGAAAGCAGCTCATCACCATCTTATCGAGGGCAATAAGTGCTGTGCTAGAAAATTACACTGACATTCTAGTTTTAGTTATTTGCATACGGACTCACAATGGGATCAGAATCCATGAGATTTAATTTTCAAACCTGAATCTTCGGGTACTATGACCCCATTATCTTTCAGCCTTAGGAGTTGTGCATCCCACATAGTTTGGTGTTCTCTGTTCCGTCAACAATGGTGCATCCTTCAGACAACTAATGCAGGAAGGAGACTGGACTATTTATTTTGCTTTTGCAGGAGGAATTCAGTCACCCAGTGGAGAGCCTGGCTTTAACTGTGGAGGAAGTTATCAATGTCAGAAAGGTCTTAGTGAAAGCTGAAATGGAAAAGTTTCTGCCAAGCAAGGATCTCTACAACAGTCTGAGAAAGGGAAAGGTATGCTACTTGTGTAATTTTTTTTTCTTGCGGTTCTGTAACGTTTACTATTCAATTCCCACTGGCTTTTACTTTCTCTGTCCTTTCTCCAAAACCGTGTCATTTCCCTTACTTTAGCAGCGGGGCAATTGACCTTTCTCGGCAGCTTCACATGTAACTTGTGTCCTATCCTAATCAGCCAGTGATCTGTATGCCAATTAAGGGAGACAGACAGTACACTAATATTTTATAAGGCTTTAAGTACAGTACAAGTTAGAAACCTGGGTAATGTATAGACTGGAGCAGCTGCTGAGATTGAAACTGCAATTGTTTCTGAAAGATGGAAAGGAAATCTTTAATTGACTTTAAAGCAAATGTTCATTGTAGTTTCCAAACTGTGAATTATAATGTGCTAAATAAATATTTGGCAGTTACCAGAAAATTGAACTAATGTTTCCGCACAGCCACATCAGAAAGTACATATCTTACAAATGATGAAGATATTTATTTGGATATGAAAAACTCTATTCTCCTTACGCTCCCTAGATTTCAACGTTTCAGCCTGTTTAACATTTAAAATATGGCCACGATTGGCAAGTCCAACCAAATACAATGCCCCTCTTTAACATTCAGACACTTAAATCTCAATCCAGTGAGGACATTACCCAACTGTAGTGATTATAACAAGGTCAGCTAGGTGGACCTCATAGAATGAGATCCCTGATTTGGACCAGATTAACAGCCCCAATCAAGGAGCCCTGGCTGACAGATATAAACAGGAGTGTTAGAGGTTTGGCTCACTCTGCGAGCTGGCTCTGAGAAAGCTGGACCAGAGTCCAGTAGTACGCACGTGTAAATAGAGTGACATGGTGACAAGATACCAGCCTCTAGAGTTATTTCACTATCCACACTTGGGAAAGTATTTCACTCTTTGTTCCCAGAAAAATAATTTTACACATTTTATCATGTAATCCTGCAGTAGAAACAAATTGGGAGGTGATGGCCTCGTGGTAATATCACTATACCTGGGTCTCTAGATGAATAGTCATGTTTTGGGGACTTGGGTTCAAGCTCCAGCATGGCAGAATGTGGAATTTGAATTGAATAGAAATCTGTGATTGAAAATCTAATGATCATGAAACAGTTGACGAATGTCAAAAGAACACATCTGGTACACCAATGTCCTTTAGGGAGGGAAATCTGCCATCCTTACCCAAGCTGGTCTACATGTGACTCCAGACCCACAGCAATGTGGTTGATCCTGAACTGCTGTCTGGGTAATTGGGAAAGGGCAATAAATACTGGTCTGGTCAGCGACATCCACGTCTCATGAATAAATTAAAAAAGAAAATGAAATTCTCTTTACATAAGAGGGCCTATTTTCCAAACTCTTCAAATATTTCCAAGTAAAAGTCATAGCCATACAGCACAGAGGCCCTTTGGCCCATCAAGTCTGTGCTGGCATATCTGCTGTAATCCCACTTTCTGCAGTAGACTCGTAACCTTGAATATTCTGATCTTTTAAGTACTTTTTAAAGGTGGTAAGGTTTCCTGCCTCACCTTCTGGAATCACTTAGAGTTTATTTGTAGCTGGAGTTATGTTCTTACTTTTTTCCTTGCCCACACTATCCCCCCTTGCTTTGTTCTTCAGCGCCAGAAATGGGAAAAAAAAATTAACAACAATGCTGAAATCAAGTTTTGTTTCATACATTGCAGTTTATAGATACAGTTAGTAAAATGGAATTTTATGTTTTATATCCTTATGGATTTAGGGGTTCTGCCATCTTACTTTTGAACTTTGCCATGCAGGTGTGCTGTTGCTGTAAGATGAAGTTCCCCTTGTTCTCATGGCCCTCGACATGTTTATTTTGTAAAAGGTAACTTGGCTAACAAAAATTGTTTTTCTTCCTGTCATTGTTAACCACTACAGTTGCAGTAAAAAAAATCCATAAAAATGTCTGAATGTACTCTGAGTTTCAGTTGATCCAGGTGTTCATTCAGGACCAGGACTTCCCTGGAAAGAATGTAGTATTAAATAGTTGTAATGGAACTGACATACTCAAATTCCCCTCCTTTTATAAATGGTAACAGTGAGCAGTGTGTTTTGTAGGAAACTTCTTGCTACAATACACAAAAAAAAGCACAGCACAGTCATTTCCTTGAAGATTTCTTGTTTTCATTCATTTCAGCACAAGATCTTAGAAGAACATTCCAGACTTTCATGGCTAAATGAATGTGTTTTTTTTTAAAAGATTAAAATTCTGGATTTGGCCACTTCTAGCACACTAGAAATTCTTTTACAATTGTTATATAAATGCAAATTATTTTGAAATTTGACTAGTTTATTTAATATGAAGACATTTATGCATATTTGGAGAGTGCATTATTTTTAAACACATTTTGAAGATCAGATGTCTGAACTTGTCACATGACTGCAATGTAAAGATGTTGTCTTTTAGTTTAAACATTTAGGCATTTATATACGTTGATCTCCGACATTAGAAAATTTGACTTTTTAAAAAATCTATGAAAAATAGCTCAAATCAAAATGATGTTAACAGTTAAGTTTTCATGTGATCTTAAAAGGACACTATTTTTTTCTTTTTAGATCAGTTTGTGGTTCTTGCAATTTAAAGGTAAGAGCTATTGCAGAAGTTACTCTGAAACATTCCATTAACCCTTTTTTACTGCAAAAATCTGATCCATGTAACCTCAATCCACACTTCTTTCTCATTAATTTCTTCAGGTTCAAAAGGGGGAGGTGGTAACATATTGACATTATGACATGACACTGTTACACCAGGAACATATTCTAATCCCACCAAGACACTTGGTAAAAATTTGAATTGAATTAATAAATCTGAAGGTGAAAAGAAATCATTGTTAATTTGTAGTAAAAATCCACCTTTATTCACTAATGTCCTTTTTAGGGAAGGAGATCTGCCGTCCTTTCCTGGTCTGACATTCATGTGATGCAATGGGGTCGATCTTAACTGCTGTCTGAAATGCAGTTCACTAAATTCTATCAAACCACTACAAAGCCTAAAGAAAGGACTGCAACCAGATGGATCATTTGGCATTGGCTTAGGCTTCGGAAACAACAACAGCAAGCCCCACTCTGACCCTACAAAACCCTCTTTGCTAAAATCTCGAGGCTTTTGACAAAGTTGGACAAGCTGCTCCACACACCAATCAAACATCAGCCTGTTATAGTCATACACACAAAATAATACCTTACAATGTCCCAGACAGAATAATTACCATCCTGTCCCACCCGAGGCACTATAGGATATAGTCAGGAAGGAATTGTCCTGGAAGTCCTCAACATTGACTGTGGACCCTATGAAGTATCACAGCATTGCACTAAAGATGGGTAAGGAAACCTCCTGCTAATTATCATATGCCACATTCCCTTGCCTGATGAATCAGTACTCCACCATATTGAATTGGAAGGACTAAGTCCATCTGCACGAGGGGCTGTCAGCAAGGGTGACTTGGTAGGACGTAGCTGCCAGAATGGATCTGCAGTGGTGGTGAAGGAGCCAACAAAAGGGAACAGAAGACTTGACCTCACCCTCCCCAACCTCCCTATTGTAGGTACATCTGTCCATAACAGTATTAGAAGGGGTGACCACCACACGGTCCTAAACTGACTAAGCAAGTCACTCAATTGTATCAACTGCGCAAAAGGGATTTAAACCGGACATACTATCTGCTATGGCCTAAGGAATTGAAAATGACAACATCAAATACAGCCCTCTCTATCCTGCAATGCCAGGCTTGCTAACATTTGAGGGGAAGTGCCAAAATTAGGAGAGCTGTCCCACAGCCTAGTTAAGCAGCAGCCTGACATTGCCATACTCTCAAGGATCATCCTTTCCAGACAAAGTCCCAGAAACGGCAGTCACCATACCTGGGTGAATCCTGTCCCACCAGCAGAAGTGGTAGCACAATGAAACACAGTTGGGAGGGAGTTACTTTGGGAATCTCCAATATTGATTCTGCATCCCATGAAGTCTCATAGCATCAGGTCAAACTTCAGAAAGAAAACCTTATGCTGATTATCGTGTACGATCCCCGACTCTACCATTACCATCAGACCTGGGGATCAGTTCTGATTAAATGAAAAGTGCAGGAGGACATGCCAGGAAGAACACCAGGAGTATGGAAAAATGAGGTGTCAACGCAGTGAAGCTACAAAGCAGGACTGCTTGCACACCAAACAGTATTAGCAGCAAGTGATGGACAGAGCTAAGTGATCCCATAAACAACGGATGAAATCTAAGCTCTGCAGTCCTGCCACATCCAGCCGTGAATGGTGGTGGAAAATTAAACAACTCACTGGAGGAGGAGGCTCCACAAATATCCCCATCCTCAATAATGGCCAACATAACACTCAGGTACAGAAGATAATGGTGACTCACTCTAACAATCTTCAGGCAGAAACTCCAAGTGAATGATCCGTCTCGGTCTCCTCTTCAAGTCCCCAACATCACAGGTGCCAGTCTAAGCCAATCTGATTCACTCCACATTAAATCAAAAAATGGTTGGAGACACTGGATACTTCAAAGTCTGAGTCCTGATGACATTTCAGGAATGGTATTGAAGACCTGTGCTCCAAAACTTGCTGATCCCCTAACCAAACTGTTCCAGTATAGCTATAAATTGGTGTCTACCCAGCAACGTGGAAAATTGCCCAGGGATGTCATGTACAACAGAGCAGGACAAATCCAACCCAGCCGATTATTGTCCCATCAGTCTGAACTCAATCATCAGTAAAATAATGAAAGGTATCATCAACAGTGCTTTCAGGCAAGATTTGTTTAGCAATTACCTGCTCACTGACTCCCAGTTTGGGCTCTGTCAGGACTACTCAATTCCTGACCTCACTACATCTTTGGTTTAAATATGGCCAAGCGAGCTGAATTCCAGAGGTGACGTGTGAGTGACAGGCCTCGACATCAAGGGTGCATTTGACCAAATGTGGCATCAAGGAGCAAAAATGGAGTCAATGGAATCGGTGGGAAAGCTCTCTGGTAAACATAGAAAATAGGTGCAGGAGTAGGCCATTTGGTCCTTCAAGCCTGCACCACCATTCAATACGATCATGCAATCTCAGTATCCCATCCCCCTTCTTCCCTTTAGCCGTAAGGGCTGTGTCTTGCTCCCTTTTTGAATATATCTAATGTACTTAAAGTCATTCCTGTCAGAAAGGAAGATGGTTCTGGTTTTTGAAGGCCAATCACTTCAGCTCCAGGACTTCTCTGCAGGAGTTCCTCCGGATACTATCCTAATCCCAACCATCTTCAGCAGCTTCATTAATGATCTTCCCTTCATCATAAGGTCAGAAATGGGGGTGATTGCTGCACAATTGTCAGCACCATTCGCGACTCCTCAGCAAGGTCTTGGCAATATCCAGTCTTGGGCTGAAAAGTGGCAAGTAACATGTTCCACACATTTCCGGGTAATGACCATCTCCAATAAGAGAATCCAATCATTATCCCTTTGATATACAATGGCATTATTATCACTGAATTTCCCCCACAACAACATCCTGAGGGTTACCATTGACCAGAAGCTGAATCGGATTAGCCATATAGATACCCACAACCACAAGAGCAGGCCAGAGGTTAGGAATGTTGCAGCAAGTAGTTCACTTGCGAATTCCCCAAGGCCTGTCCACCATCTACAGGTCCGGAGTGTGATGGAATATTACCCACTTGCCTGGATGGGTGCAGCTCCAACAACAGCAGCAGTGTATGCCATCTATGAGATACACTGTTGAAATTCACCAGTTCTCCTTCCAAACCTGTCACCATTACTATCTAGAAGGACCAGGACAGCACCACCACCTGCAAGTTCCCCTCCAACTCACCATCCTGATTTGGAAAGCTATTGCTGTTCTTTCAGTGTTGCTAGGTCAAAATCCTGGATTTCCCTCCCTAATGGAACTGCAGGTGTACCTATAGTAATTGGGCTGCAGCAGTTCCAAAGCGCCACTTTCTCAAGGGCTACTAGTGATGGGTAATGGATGCTGGCCCAGCTAGCAATGCTCACGTGCCACGAATGAATAAAGAAAAAGAGGCCAGATGATAGGAGTCTGGATCAAGTAATGCACCCAGTGTCTTTCTGTTACCTGTCCACCATCTCCAAAGCACACGTCAGGAGTGTGATGGAATACGCTTAATTTGCCTGGGTGAGCATAACACGAACAATACTTGAAATGCAGTACTATTCAGGACAAAGCAACCTGCTTGATTGACACCCCATCCACCGCCTTAAACATTCGCACCCTCCAGCACTGACACAAGGCTGCTTACAGTGTGTACCATCTACACTGCTGCAACTCCTCAAGGCTTTTTATGACAGCACCTTCCAAAAACTTGACCTCTACCACCCGGAAGGAGAAGGTCAGCAGATGCATGGGATCATCATCACCTGCAAGTTTCCCTCCACGTCTCGCACTACCTGCCTTGGAACTAGAATGCCATTAACATAACTGTCACTGAGTTATAGAAGCTAGAACTCCCTTCCTAGCAGCACAATGGAAGTACCTTCATCCCCAGACTGCAGCAGTTGAGCAAGGCCCCTCATCACCAATTTCTTAAGGACAATTGAGAATGAGCAATAAATGATACTCACATCCTGTGTTTGAATAAGGAATCGCAACACTTTTGTTTTCAACCCTGCAATGTTTATATGTAATAAGATGACCTTAAACTAAAGGGAAAGAGAGTGAATAGTGTAAGCAGTATCTGTCCTGACCCAGTCACTAGCTGATTATCTGATCACCATTGTGCAGAACCTTGGCAATATGTTTTTGTACCATCTGTAGCAACCTCTATTTCCCTTTAATATTAGACCTGATTTAGGAAGTAAGTCATGTATTCATGTTTTGTTGCCTTCTGAGTGTGGGGAGATCTAGGCATTAGGCAGCCCTGAGCATTCATATAGATCCTGCAAGCAATTTCAAAGAAATCTGGACAGGGAATGAGTTGATTTAACACATCTTTAAAATGTCATTCGTTCAGGCTGTTTTAGAACCACAGAATGTAACAGTAATCAAAATCTTTGAACAAAAACAAAGTGGCTGGAAAAGCCCAGCAGGTCTGGCAGCATCTGTGAAGGAGAAAACAGAGTTAACATTTCGGGTCCGGTGACCCTTCCTCAGAATCTTTGAAGCTGATGTCTGATGCTTGTGCAGTTTTAATATATTTTCGCAGCTGTATGTATCCAGGTTAATTCCCCTCCCACTCAAGGACATGCATCTTTCCTGAATTTGCAGTTGCAGGAGGATGTTCAGATTCCTGCCTTGCTCAACACATTGACAGTTATGAATAGTGTGTTTTTTTTGGGGAATGGTGTACTGATTTGCAATCAAGTATTTACCATTAGAAAGAATAGATTTGATATTTTTGAACAATGTTTTTAAAAAGTTTTTCAAATATAGTTACTGCAGAGGAAGATTAATTAGTTGTGGGCTGATGCAATAAATGTAAATAAAGCTTATTTAGTTGTTCTACTTTAAGATTAGACCTTTTTAATAATGTTCTTATAAAAAGCCGTTTGCATTTATAAATTGACGAGGCTCTTTGACCTGTCTGTCTCCTCGCCACCTATCTTCTCCTCTATCCATCTTCTATCCACCTCCCCCTCTCTCCCTATTTAATTCAGAATCCCCTTCCCCCCCTCCCCCATTTCTGAAGAAGGGCCTAGGTCCGAAACGTCAGCTTTCCTGCTCCTCTGATGCTGCTTGGCCTGCTGTGTTCATCCAGCTCTACGCCTAATTACGTGGCTGATATGTCTTTTAGTGGGGCCTTCCTATAATCAGACTTAAATTAGAGCCAGTCCTTCTGTAGTATGCATACACAAACTCTTTACTTGTTATAATATGAAAAGTCCTATCATTCCCTATATACACTTGTGCAGCTGCTGGTGTAGATAGATTTATTCCTAACCTATGACATTAGACTGAACCTAAGCTCTTGATTTTCGCATTTGGTCATGCTTGTATGAAGAACGAGTATCTCATCTGAATTTTTTTTTCTTCATTTTTGTCTTTCTTCCACCATTGTCCCAAATGATAAGTATATAAGAGGTCAATGGAAACAATGAAATGTCTATAATAGAACTATTAAAAAGTAACCATATTTTCTACAGATCAAGATTCCCTCCAAGAAATTTGCTCATATACCGGTTTATACTGTGGGTTTTGAGAATATTCATGGAACTGCTCACAACCAAGGATATTTCCAATCTCAGTAAGTATCTGGACTTCCTGCAGTTGTTGAAGCTTTTAGATTAAACTCCATTCTAGTCAATTACAAAGAAGTATACAACTGCTAGCACATTGGAATTAATTTGTTTATCATATTTGCCAACACTAAGGCAGATGATAGAAACATAGAAAATGGAGCAGTAGGGGGATATTCAGCCCTTTCAGCCTGCTCTACCAGTCATTATGATCGTCCAACTCCATAGTCTGTTCCCCATTTTCCCCCATATCCTTCAATCCATTTAGCCTCCAAGTGCTATATCCAACTCCTCCTTGAAACCATACAATGTTTTGGCTGTGACTGCTTTCTGTGGTGGCATGTTCCACAGGCTCCCGACTCTTTGTATGAAGAAATTTCTCCATATCTCAGTCCTAAATGGTTTACCCCATATCCTTAGACTGTGACCACTGGTTTTCGACTCCCCCACCTTTTGAGAACATCCTTCCTGCATCTACCCTGATCAGTCCTGTTAGAATTTTACAGGTTTCTGTGAGATCCTTCTTAATTCTTATAAAGTCATGCCAATATAATCCTAACCGTTCAACCTCCCTCATGCATCAGTCTTGCCATCTCAGGAATCAGCCTGGTTAACATTCGCTGTACTCCCTCTAAAGCATGAACATCCTTCCTCAGACAGGGAGACAAGAATTGCACACAGTATTCCAGGTGTTGTTTCACCGAGGCCCTGTATAATTGCACAAGACATCTCTGCTCCTGTACTTGCATCCCCTTGTTATACTGTGTAAATGGAAGTAGGCAATCTTGGTTACAGATAAGATGTGGGATTTGAACTCAGCGCTGAGTTGGAGAGTGTTGGGGAGCGACGCCAAAGAGAAGTCTTGTGTTCTCTGTTCAGCAGTACAATCGATCTTTAATCCGAGCTCTTTTACCATACAGCATGAGAGAGGTTTCTGGAACAGTGTTCACTGAAAACTTTGGCCCTCCCAGTCAAGTACAGCATTTTTATACATTTTGTGATAAAATAATTACGTGCAACATTGCCATTGTTAGTCATGTCCCCCCAATCTATTCGTCCAATCCTGTAAACACATGATCAATGATGGACATCTCTATGAAGATGGCCCTAGGTTCTCCAATGATCTCATGATGTTTACAAGACATTGTTGTCATCAGGCCTTGAGATCTTACAATGAATCCCATTAATTTACCTTCCAGTGTCAACAGTTATACACTTTTTCAGACACTTCCCAGACTTGCTTATCTCTAAGGACTGTTTGAATTCCATTATTCATCGTATTCATTGCTATCCTTATCCAATTCTGTTACTGATTTTATATTTCCTACTGGCTAAATCACAGGAGATGCAAAAAGATGCTAATTCCTACTAATTGCTATAAAGTTCATAATAACTTGAGTGAACTCCTAAGGTTTTACAAAGAATGATGTGGATGGGCCAGTGTTGGAATGTGGTGGACAAGGTCGGAAGTCACATATCACCAAGTTATAGTCCAACAGGATTAGTTGAAATCACCAGACAAAGGGGCAGTGCTTCAAAAGCTTGTGATTTCATATAAACCTGTAGGACTATAACCTGATGTCGTGTGACTTCTGACCTTTTACAAAATGACCTTTTACAAAATACCCTTTTACCTTATCACTTGTCTCTGTCCTTCCTCCCTTAAACCTTGGATGTACAAATGAATTTGAGCTGTCTGCATCGTTATTATTTATATTCACTTATTTAAGTTGTGAAGCTGCCGTTGTTTATATTCTCAAAGTCAAGCTGGTGCCCCTTAAAGGTCATCTGTTTTCCCCATTTGTCATTCAGTCCCCCTCACTGATGGAATGGAGACTCCTCTCCAATATCTAACTCTTTGTTTAAATGAATTCAGCCAAATTTTTTAATGTTAGGTGTCGATTGCATTTCTTAACTTTTCAGTACTCAGTTGAAAAATGAGCGGTATGGTGGCTCATTAATTAGCACTGCTGCCTAACAGCACCAGGGACCCGGGTTCGACTCCAGCTTCAGGTGACTGACCGTGTGGAGTTTGCACATTCTCCCTGTGTCTACGTGGGTTTCCTGTGGGTGCTCTGGTTTCCTCCCACAACGCAAAGACATGCAGGTTAGGTGGATTGGCCGTGCTAAATTGCCTATAGTGCATAGGGTTATGTATGTTAGGTGGATTAACCATGAAATGCAGGGTATTAGGGATAGGGTAGGGGGTTGAGTATGGGTCGGATGCTATTCAGAGGGCTGGTGCAGACTCAATGGGTTGAATGGCCTGCTTCTGATTGTAGGGATTCTATGATTCTTGATTGAATCATACAATCACTTAAACAGTCTTTATTATTGTGATATGATATTTTTCCTCTAATTCTTGCTAAATTACAAACCTCGGGCTGTCTATTTCCAGATGTCTGCAGCTGTGGTTTGTACAGTACTCCGTGTATTAATTTGTAAGTTTCTTTGTTCAAAATAAACCCCGTTACCTTTGATTTGTCTCCTTCTCAAAGCTACCATTGTGTTAACTTATGATCTCACTTTAATGCTGCATCAGGCAAGATAATTCTGTTATCGCAGCTAAGAATCTCTGCCATATTTATGCCAATGGGTAGGCATGTTGTGCCAACTCTGACCGTGGGCTGGCCCAACAGTAAGTGTGGAGAACCTGTTCACTCTTGGCATTATGCTGCATAATAGATGATTTTACTTGTCAGCCTGGCATAGAATATCAATCAAATTTAGTATATTTCATGCCATTCATATTGATGATGCCGGTGTTGCAGAATCTGAGGTTATACTGCAATTGTTACATTATTGCATACCGAGCCACAGTTAATTAATGAAAATTAACTCCTTTAATTATTTTAGAAATGCAGGATGATGCAGGCACTTCAGGATGTGGAATTTTAATTATTTTAGATTCTAGTTTGTAAAGTACGTGTAATATATTGTCCCTGCAGCCTTGTTAGTGAGTATGTGGGTAAAACATTGCGAAAAGTGGAAATAGGACGAATGACACAAAATAATTTTGTAAAACTTGTTCCATGGCAATGGTGCATTCAGTGTTCTGTAATGAATTTTCCTTAACCAGGATGTTTTTGCAACATAGAATATGTGAAACAAATTTTTTGACAAATATTAACTATTTCCTTAACTTAAATCTGCTAATCCATGTTACCATTACTTAAGGAAAAAAATGCATTAATTCAGATCAATCTGTTTTCAAAAGTGTGGAAAATCTTTTAAGTTATTTAATTAAACTTGAGAAATGATCAAAACAATCTAAAATATTCTCTTGGCCCTAACATTTGTGAAGAGGAAGAAGAAAAGATTTTGCAGGAAGCTATGAAAGATGTCCTCCTTGGTCAGACTTTAGCAATTTTTGTTTACAGTTGAATGGCGGGGGCAGGGGTATCATTATTGTTGAAATGAATACCTTGATATCCAAGTTTCTAGATACTATTCTTACCTTCGATCATTATTGCTGTTGTAATTGTGTGGAAAGGTTATAATTAAAGTTCAAGCTGTTACTAAAATACAGCTTGATGCTGAAAGTTAGGCCTGGTGCATTTTACAGAAAGTCTAAAGGACTCTGGCATTTTGACGAATGAAACCCATTTGGCCTTTTTGATTAGCAAGATCTTTTTTTAAGCAAGCGCACTTGTAAGGGACTGTCCAACTCTTCAGCACTTGATATCAAACCTTGTTTTTAATTGTATTGTTGCAGATCTCTGAAGAGTCTCGGTAATCGGTCAGTAGAAAAGGAATTTCCACACCTTTACACAAATGGCTGTAGCTTCAAAGATATTTGTGCTGAGTGTGCAAAATTTGTTGCCGACATCATCAACTCAAGTTGTAAAAGTGTGGACCTTCTGAATAATACCCCTAGGAGGAAAGTCCAATCAATGTATGTGCACTCAACGAGATCCTGAAGAAAATAAGAGCAAGAACTAATTGCATTATGAACATCACATGATGTCCACCAAAGCTGTTGACAGTCATGTTGCACGTGCTGGTGTTATTGTTCTTTCAGGAATTATGCGATGCTTCAAAGAAGTGCTCATGACCTCTGATCTCTAGCAGTTGTGACAATGGGTCTTGTGGAAGTTACAATATAAGGATGGACATTTTCTTGTCAAAATGCTAATATATTTCAGCTGTGTCACAAACATGGCAAAATGATGATACTCCAAGTTAGTTCATGGGCTGAGGAAGCTTGGACTTTTGAATCTGATGGCAACTAGCTCTAAAGGTCAGGGCAGGGGTCTGGGTGAAATGTACAGATTTTGAGAGAAATTTGGCCGCCTTGACAGGAACAAGAGGCTTGGTCAGGGTAAAATACATAAAATTGAAAATTTATTTTTTCTTTTATTCTGAATGATTTCATTAATTTATTTTTTTTTGTTTGATGTGATCTCCCTTAGGCTTCCAACTGGTTTTTCTGTGTTTCCAACTAGTTTTTCTGTGCTTCCAACTAGTTTTGCTGTGCTTCCATGCTCCTGAGCCTGCTGCTGTTATTTTGATTCTATTACATTTTCTACTTCATTAAGGCGAATACTGACGCAAGTTTTAGAGTTCTGTCCATGTTATACTTCCAAAACTAGCTTCCTATCCCATTTATATACTATAGATTCAACCATGTTTTACTTGAAGAGAGCTTTATTGTAATCCTCGATTAATATGAGGATATTTGTTTATCATTATCTATTATGGAGATCAATATTTGTGTATTGTCAGAGTTGTTCATAAATTGTAACAATATAAAAATTATCAAGAGTTATTGTTGCCTAAGGTGAGTTCTTATTCCTAGTTGAGCTATATCTCTGTGAACATTCTGTAAACCAAATAGCTTTACTCTCATCATAGCTGGAGAGAGATCAAGCAAGGCCATTCTGAATTCAGAATAACATGTTACATTTATTCTAGTTACTTAATTTACCACTAGCTAATGGCTGTAAACAACAGAAGAAATTTAACTTTGCAGTTAATTGCCTGCCTGCTGAAATGTTTGTTGTTAATAGACATTTTGGTGCCCTTTTTCTTTATTAATGGACATATTCATGGGAGAATGGAACATTCTAATAATACTTTATCTTCTCGTATTAATAATAATCTCATCCATCTACAGATTATTTAGATAAGTATATATCAGTAACATTTGATGTTATGAGTTTTTATAATGAGGTGCTGACATGATGTAGTAACCATTGAAAAGGTGTCATAACTGAATATTTTATCAGTACATTGGATCTTTTGTATTGATGAACTTCACATTAATGTGGAATGGACACTAACATTCATAATGTTAGAAATAGAAAACAAACTAGAAATAGTTCAGAGTTACAAAATTTAAAACAAACTGAAGTTCAATTAATATCGTAGAAGTAAAGTTCCTAAGTGCTTTGACTAAAATTGTCTAATTCAAAAAATCACAGTAGCAAGGTCACATTATTCAAGCTTTTGGGATTTGTTTGTTTGTCTTTACATTCTGCATTGCTGATCCCCTTTGTGGCCATTCTTGTGACTATTGCATTCAAGCAACATTACATCATGGAAAGCACTGATGAGCCTATCATGTTTGCAGTGTTCTACCAGGATACACACAACCTGTAAACATCTAAGTAAACAACTAATGAATGGAAACTCCAACTTTGGGAAAAATTAAACATTAAAGTTCTAAACGTAGCTGTTGCTATGCAAATCTGGAATTGTTTCCCTTCTCAAGACTTCATGTTTTCATTGAAAATATGGGACCACATAGTCAATAGGCTGCAGCTTTCATTTATTTGAAACTGAATGATTAAGAAGTGAGAAAACCAGTTTCAATAAATGTGGAACACTGCACGTTTTAACAGCTTATAAAGTTGCCTGATGCTGAGTGTTGAGCTTTTCAGAGGTCTGATGATAGATTTAGAAATTTTAAGAGTGCCTTTTGATTGTTACAAAATCTGTTCAAGAACATTTTACCACAGCTGCTAAATTTATTGTTGAATATGTAAACATATAGGTCTGGAGAAACTAGTGTTTCTGTTATTGATCCTACTTTGGCATAACATTTCTTATTAGCTATAGTAAGCTTAAAATGTTTAACAAAGATGACCTGTAAGACAAGTGCATGATGTAGCATTTAATAAGCTTGAAGGTTTTCCTGACTGCGGACATTAACAAAGTTATTGTTACCCACTTGGATGTAATGCATGCCAAAGAATGGCCACCAGGAGTACAATATCAACTGAACAGAACATATTAGCTTTTTAAGGATATGTCTCCACAAGATAAGACCTACAGGAATGTACTGTTATAAATGGAACTCTTAAGTTAGACTTGAAGACCTGTCATATCTGCTAGTAAAACTGTTTCTAACTAAGTCATCAGGCATGTCAGTATGTGCAGTTTCTCCATCCAAATGTCGATTTCAAACAGTACTTTAGCTATCAGAGAAATCATGCAGGTATGTTATTATAGGGCCAAGCTATTAGCTTCTGGTTAAGACATTGCACCACAATGAAAAGTTGCATCTCACCAAAGAAACTATGAAGAACAAAGCTTGTGTTTCAGTGCGAAAAGTTTTCAGTATAGGTAATGAATATGACTAATTATCAATGCACCTTCCCTAGAATGATGGGATGTGTGTTGTGTGTGTGTGTATAATGACTGGATATCAGTCAAACAGCATGTGGAAAATAATATTATATAAATAAATTAACATTTTATGTAGAGCCTGTTGTCCAACATGGAATGTAAATGTATTTGATATGTATGTATTTTTCTTGTAAATATAAGTTCAATTTACTGCTGGATTAAATAAAACTGAACAAACTGTTTCAGTCACTTCTGGTCATCAGTTGGTAAAGTTGTCAGTGAATATTTGGAAACTTAATGAGTCACATTTGTTTTAGTAACATACATGCTATGGAACAATAGAAATTACAAGAATGCTAATGCTTTTAAAAAATGATGCAGACGTAAATATTTCTGCAAAAATCACTTTTGGATTTGAAGATTATTAGTGAATGCTGAAACATTACAAACATTATGTATTGTTCTTCCAAACTATTAAGTAAGAACAGGAGTTTGAATGTTAGTGATAAATGCTTTTAAGTTTTGGCAAAAATCGTAGCTCGGGTTGTGGATGAGGTTGTTGACTTGCTGGCTGAGCTGGCTTGTTTTTGTTCAGACGTTTCGTCACCATGCTAGGTAACATCCTCAGTGGAGCCTCCGATGAAGCGAGGTTATTCTACTCCGCTTGGAAATGCTATTGATTATGAAATGCCAGTGATTAATTATATCACCATGAGAATTTCACACCAGTGGCTCTTTGAGCTTTAGTGAACAAGTTTTCACAATTCAATATAGTTGGTTCTTGTCCTCTTAACATCGTTCCTTTTATCAACAGAATTGATCCTAATCATAGTGTAGGATTTCTCATTGGAGCAGGAATTCTTATCTAAAAGTATATCTTATTTATAAGTTTACCATACCTTGATTCATGTCAGTTAGCAGGTTGCGATCATTTAATTGAAGCACACACATTGTGTTTGCGACAAGGCTGTTGGCACATGAACTTCTTGTGAGATTGACATAACATTGCCATACAGCAATATGTCCATCCCTTGTCTGATTAATGCTGGCAAACAACAAGCTGTCTGGCTTGTGTCTGTGCTAAAAATCAAGCAAGACAGAAATCTGTGAAGATTTAAGCACTCGTTGAGGGAGCAAATTGCAAACAGGCACTGATGCTGTGATCATCAATGTAGGCGGAGAGTGAGTTGGTCTTAGAGCAAGCAAGCAGTCCTGAGATGCTCCAGAGTTGAACCCATCAGATGTGTACCTGTCACTGCACACAATGTGTCCTGGCAGAAGCATTCTAATGAAAGGTGTCAGTGTGCTCCAAGGTGCAGCAATGACGCGTAGAACTGCAAATGTAAATGGGCAAGAGATGTACCATGAGGGTGCAGTGAAGTTGTCTGATGCCAATGTGTGGGTGAGGTGGTGCATGTGATTGCTGCCCATGGAATGTGCCCTGGGATGTTGGTAACTGGTGTCCAAGATGGAGGCCCGGGGTAGCAAGTGATGAGCAGGAGTCACCAGTTAACTTCTGACTTTCATATCAGAAAATGTCACAATGGGTGGAAGAATGAAATTGCATATAAATCCGGTGAGATTAAGTAATAATGAGATGTTCATACATGCAAGACTGCTTGCTGCTAACTAGTGAGAATCTCATCAACATTTGGAATATAAGACTTTTTTCACTCTTCAGGGTGAGTAGCACCTCACTGCTAATCTCTAACGATTTTCAGATTTCTAGCTAATGCTCACTTTTCAGTGCCTGGGAAGATTCCACCAATTTACTCTCTCTCTACTCAGATGCTGTCTTAGCTGCTATGTACGTCCAGCTTTCTGTGTTTCTATTTTAAATTTCCAGCATCTACAGTATTTTGTGTTTTATTTTCTGAACGGAGCATTGCTAATAAGAAATTGGAAAGGCAGTCATGGATGTCAGTGAAAGTCCTAGTGATGGGAAGATGAAAATTAGACGAGGCGAACCGATTTCCCTTTGATTTTTCCAGCTGCTGCAGACCTCTGACGTTTTTGCCTGGCATCAGCTGGAGAAGTGAATACATCGCACAGTGGATCTTTGACCATGCAGCTTAGAGGGCACATTGATAGCAGTACTTTTGAAGTGGGAAAGAAATTATTGTTCCATTGTTAAACTGCCAGAATCAGCCTTCCTAATGACCGGCTGCCCTTGTGTGCTAACTTTCCGTGTTTGCTGTAAAAGGACGCGCAAGTCCCTTTGTGACAGCTCTCTGCACTTTGCACTTTTCTTCCATTTAAATAATGCTGCGCTCTTTGTTTTTTCCAAAATTAGCAACTTCATGTTGTCCCACATTGTACTCCATTTCCCCACTTACTTAACCCATCAATATCTCTCTATAAACTGTCTTATATCCCGCTACAACTTGTTTTCCCACCTTTGTGTGGTCTGAAAATTTGGTTACAGTACACTTGCTTCCTCCAAGTCATTTGTGACAAAAGAGGCTTTTATTAGCATATAAGCAGAATTGGCTTGTAGCGGAATGTTATATCAAATACAGATACCTGTTTACAGCCAGTAGTTGACACCAGAACATTTAATATCGTAGTTCTTATGAAGCGTAAAGCTGTCTCTTCCTGTTTTTCCCCCCAGATCTTTTCTCCCTCTTGTCCTCACCTCATGCTTTGTTTAATATGGGTTTAGTTATCTGAAGTAATCCAGGTATTCTTGCTAGTAGAATAAACAGAGTTTCCTATTTGCTTATGTTATCTGCTTTGTATATAAACGAGCAGGTGAAGCACAGCTCCTTATGTTCAATGTGGTCATACTGCATATTTGACGAGAGGTTCATTCATTGTTTCACTACAGCAAATTTACTAAAGCAAGGTAATTGGAAGTAAGAAGAATCTTACTTGTATTGAAAAACAAATGCCCTCATAGATATAACGCACTGATCACAGATATAAATCTACTTTCCTCCCATTTTACAATATTTGATTAATAGACAAGTACTTTGCATCCCAAAACTCTCTTGGTTCTTTCTTAAGATTGAGCACTTTACTGGATTTTATTTCATTTCTCAAAAACTAAGAATTTCTTCTAAATACTATGGCTGACCTCAATGTGCTGCATAGGCAGCAGCATAACTCTCAACTTTGTCAACTACACATCAGATACCTGTCTGAAACTGTCATTTCTTTCTTTTGTACCAAGTCTGCCTCTTAGAAGTCCCAAGTGTTTATTCCTCTAGAGTACTTTATTTTAATGTTTCCTGATTTTCTGCTGTCTCATTGCATTTTTAGGGTGCCCTTTCTTGGTTACCTTCCTTTTTAAAATATGTCTTTTAATTTTTCACCCCATCTATCCTGCAGACATGCTTCTCATCTGTTCACAAATATGCTGAACTGCTCTTAGCTGCTATTTAGTAAAATAAGGTCTTCATTGTTCCTCGCAACTTTCAAGCCTTTGCATCAATTTTGTGTAGACTAACTCGTATTTAAATGAAAGAGAACATATAGACATTTTAGCTTTCAGCTTTTGCAGGCTGTCTGCCATTTATTTTTGATTTGTCACTTGCTGAAGTTCTAGTCTGTTTTCTCATAATATAAACATATTCATAATGTGCGTATGGATTCTAGCTTAAAGAGGGAATCAAAATATGAAAAGACATTTTTCACTCACCATCTAAATTTGTTTTATTTAATGTGTTTAATGTCCATTACTTCCAACATGAAAGCTACTTGGAGCAGAGGTCACATGACAATGGCAAATCACAGTTTTACAATGCACAAATGCATTTCTCCAAACATCACCCTTTCTATATTAAAATAAAATGCAAGCACTATTATTTACAATTCCAAGTTACACTATATCCATTAGAGAACAAAGAAAAATTTGTCAATAAAAACTATTATTTCTAGTCAGTCTCACTTCTTTTTCAGTATCTGTATATTGCCTTTCATCCATATTTTCTAAAGCATTTTGATCTTTTAAGCACATGTGTGAGTTAGTGTTAGCAGTTTGTCTGTTATCTGCTTAGTCCTGTGGCAATGTTCTTTCTCCAGGCAGTGTTGGTCACTTGTTTTCAGATCCAGTGTCTTTGCTGTTCTGATGACTTCCAGAGCATGTTAAAATGATGTTGCTTACTTTTTCTTTTCAAGTGAAAGCTGCACATCCTAAGCAGTCAGTTTGTGCACTCTGATAATACATGAGACGGGAACTCTGCTAGGTAGTTCACAAATCCCAACCAATCATTGTACTGTTTTCATATCTGCTGTTTGCTGTGTCTCTGCTACAGCCCTCACTTTGTTAGGATCAAGATGAAATCCTTTCACTATCAATACATGACATACGTGCTCGACTTCAAATATTTTCAATTGCATCTTTTTCTTCTGTCATGCATTTTTTTCTGTTGTCATGTTATGACTGCCTCTTCACCCTCCTATATTTTTTTAAATCACCTGCTAGCTCCTTTCCTTTGTCTGGAATTTCATGGGTTGGTGGGGCTGCTGGTTCCTCTGTCTTTCAGGCTGTACTTGTAGGTAGTTGGAACTCTTGACAGATGCAGAATTTGTCTAATACTCGTGTCCACTTCAAGACGATTTTTAGCAGGAATACTTTCAAGACCTGTTAAAAAAAAAAAAAAATCTTTTTAATTTTCTAGGATCTGTTCAGCAATCAATGATTTAGTGGCCTGCAAACACTACAAATCTCTTTGTGGCACATGTAGGGTTACCAGTCTGAGCTTTAGACTTGCTTCAGCTGAGATAAGTGGATTTTGCTTTATTTCCACTATTTGGAACTGCAAATCTTTTGATCTTCCCATTGTGTTTGGCTCTCAGTTTCATTTGACCTCTTGAAATGAGTACCATTCCATTCTGAGTTATTTTGCACAGGTCTGAAAAACTCATGTTGTTGCACAAACCATAAATGTCTATCTGAAACTTCACATTCACTGAGTGATCTCATTCTGCACTCATTATTCCAACAGTCACAAACCATTTATCACACTTCGACTTTACAGTGCCGACCTGTGGTTGTGATATAGTGATTTGTGAGAATCATCATGTTATCTCTCCAGCAGCCATCTTTACAAATTTGTTTTACTTCTTTCTAGGTAAACACTTGTGTACAAAGTGGTTCAGCTTCTTGCAGTTAGAGTGCTATCTTCCTCTTTTCTTTTGAGTGGTGTCCTCTGCAATATTTATATTCTTTTCTCTGGACTTGATCTTTTTGCTGGCACTTCTGCAAGTATTTCTTAAGAGTTCAGACTGT